ATCTTATTTATTGCGACATTTTGTTTTCGTTGATGCTTAGTTGGAAATCCGGTTTTACAAAGATATGTTGTTGCAAAAGGAAGGAATTTTAGTTATTTCTTAGCCGGAGATTAATATTTGTTAATATTAATGAAGATGAATCGGTGGTTGTTTCAATAACTTCTTCATACATTATTATATAAAAGTATTCAGGTATACCATTGATTAAAAATTAATTTTTAGCCCTATTATATGGTTGAATAAATTCTATATATTTACTCTCTGGAAAATATTTTTTTTAATGGCGATAATATTTTATTTAAATGTTATTTAATTTCGTTGCATAACTCATAAAATGTATCAATATTACCATAAATCGATTCTATATATTTCTTTAACAAGGCAAAACTATCAATTTTATGTTACGAAAAACACAGCTAAGGTTTAATGTTTTTTTATAATTCGGAATTTTTTAATTTGCTGTAAAAATTATGGTCAATTTACCCCGTATTGATAAATTTACTTCATTTAGAACTATGAAAATATCAGCCCTAGCAATAAGTCGAAATAATCAAATTTTATCAGTAAGTCTGAGTTGTTAAATAAAAGAGCGTTTGGTCAAAAAAAAAAGTACGATTCATTGGAAAATTGAAGTAATCGTACCAATGTTTTTTCTCGTGACTATGATGGGTTTAGCTATTATTTATATTTAGTGTTGAGAAAAGAATAGAATAAAGTATGGGTGTTGTGGAAATGAGAATGTTTTGATAGATGAGTGGAGTGGCAAGAGAAAATAAATTAAGGAATGAATATATAAGAGGTAATATTCGATTAGTGTCAATAGTTGACAAGATGATAGAAAAATACTGAGATGGTTTGGATATGTGATGAGACGAGAGGAAGCAAAAATAGTAAGAATCATGATGAAAATGAATGTTGAAGTGAAAAGAAAAAGAGGAAGACCAAAAAGGAGATGGTTGGATACGATTGAGAATTGATATGAGGGCTGTTGGTGTGTGTGTATGGGACGTAGAAAATCGAGAGGAGAAGAGGCTTAGGCTTAGGGTAGCCAATCCCAAATAGTTGGAAAAGGGCAAAATAAAAGACAAAAGAAAAATTTTATGTTAATATTAATATTGGTACAATTTGGATTAGTTTTTTTATATTTATTTTTTATAAATATTGTTTTTTATTTTCAATAAAAATCTACATATTTTCATCATTTACTGTTTTAATATTATACTACTCTAATACTATTAAACATTTTTGTTTATAATATTATTTGTACCTCAACACTTATACTGATACTACTTATTTAGAAAAAATAAATAACTTCATGAAAACCAACTGCCAAAGTATCTTCCCACCAAACTTAAATTACCAAATGAAATTGTAAATGAAGTACAAAAACTCAAGCCTAATAAATCCCCAGAATATGATTTAATCACAAATTAAATTCTTAAATACATTCTGAAAAAATCAATTATTTAACTAATTTTTACATATAATTCAATATTAAGATTGCCATATTTTCCCATAATATAGAAATTACCTATAATTATATTCATACCCCTAATTTATACCAAACTTAGACACAAAATGTGTAGTCCGATATTAAAAGTTTACACTACGGATTCGAGAAGTAATATATCTAATAAATACTAAAAAATAAGACTACTATGAAGATGTTTTTTAGAAAGCCAGTTTAAGCAAAGCAGCTGATGAGGACATAAATATATCTATTAAAATTTAAATTATTTATCCCACATTCAAACAAATAATTTGTTAATAGTTTTAAAATTTATACCAAACATAAGTATATTTTCAGTTTAAAAAAATAACAGAATGGTCGTAACCTAATTATAAAGTACAATTTGATTAATAAAAAAGAACTATTACTAATAAATATTACTATTATTATACTAAAAATTATAATCATATGGAAGTGAGATCTATATCATATCATTGTACATTAAAAAATTTATAATACGAATTTTTATAAAAAAAAAAATAGGAGCTGACTCACACACAAACCAATCAAATCCAACAACGTTACTTTTTTATATAGATCTATAGTCTAATTCCTGTACTAACCATGTTATTAAAAAAACTCGTGTTCTCTATGGGAGTATAACACAATCTAACAAGTTTATAAGTTAGTTGATAAAATTAATTAATTATTTGAAAACAAAAATATTATTCACGAGTTATCTTGGAAATAGCGCAAACTTTTGACAGAGTTTGGCACAATGATTTACTTTTCAAGTTAAAGCTTTTTCTTCCGACTCCTATTTACCTAATAATATGTTCATACCTTAAAAACCGTTCTTATTCTGCTCCTCAAAGAAATTATTTTTCTTACCAATTTTATATCCAAGGAGCCTCTCAAAGAAGTGACTTATTTCCACTTTTCAATATCTGCACATCTGATATTTATCAAACTGACGACTCTATTCTAGTTACATGCATTAATGATACAGTAATACTATCTTCTATTATGGATCACGTTGAAGGATATATAGCTCTCCAACGTCCCTTATAATAAATTGAAAGTTTGTCACTAAAATAGGAAATAATAATAAACGACAATAATTCTATTCCTGTTTCATATAGACCTAAAAAAAAAAATTACCCAGCACTAATATGCCAAGGAGTTATTATTCCCTTACTATCACAAGTCAAATATCTTGGTATTATTCAAAACAAAAAACTTACCTGGGTCTCCCACCTAAAAGCCAAAATAAAATGATTAAATACGAGATTACTTCTTTTACACCCAATACTGAAATCTAAACTCCTAATAAAAATAAATAAACTGCTTATCTTTAATTAGACCCATATGGGCTTATAGTGACTAATTCTGGAGTAATGAAAAACCAATAAAAAAAAAAAAAAATTAATTTTTCCTTTTAATTTATCTAATGCTATATTGTTTCGACAAATTTGCATATTGTGCAAAAAAATATTCATATTATTAATGATTATATTTTAATAAAAATATTAATGTTTTAATATGATTATTAAATTAAAAAGAATAGTGCGTAAATGATTTAATAATTTTTTTAATATGTTAGTAATTTTAGTATGGAATTTTTATACTATTTTAATGTTTGAAATCTTTAGTATTAGTTTATTGATCAATTTAACATTGTACAATCTTTACGAATAAATATTAATCAGATTACTCATTGTAAACGTATTAAGCAATATCCCAAAACAATGTTTGAATAATAATATAATATTAAACTAGGTACTTAAAAAATTGAAGTCAGATGTATAATATTTATATTACATAAACGAGTATCTAGATAAAACAATTATTATACATACATAAATAAAACAGTTTATTTCAAGGATTAGCGTATACCAATAAAACTATTTTATGATATATTAACACAACATATGATCCAGAATCACAATTTAAATTTTTATATAAATGTAAGTCTCTAAAATTTAAATAAAATTTAGAATATTTTTTATGTATTCGAAAAAGTAATAAACGAAATTAATATTAAAATTTTTGACAATCAATTAGACTATAACTGTAAGACAAAAATATTTTTAGTCAAATAAAAATTACATTTTTTTTTAAATTTCTATAAAAAAAATATACAGTTGAATACAATTACTACTACTTTGAAACGTGAACAAACCTTTTATTATTGTATTTTAGTTATAAGCCAATGGACGGCGTGGACTTAATTAAATTAATCCTAAATATTATTAATTATAATATACAATTCAATACTTTCGGTAATTGAATTATATTGTGTCATAGTTATTTCATATTTAACATTTTTTTTTTTTTTTTTGATATGTGTACAATATTCAAAAAATTTTAGATAGTCGAGATATGGGCACCTTATGATTTTCACATTTAATATTACACACGAGTGAAAATAAATAATTTTTTGCATACACTATACAATTGAGCTAGGAACATTTTATATTAAATATACCTATAGAATACAACTTATTTTAAGTATTTTGTAACTTTTCCCTAATTAGTTTAGGGTTATGAGATAATCAAATTTGAAAACCTAATATATTGAGCACTGTTTATTATCAATGTATTATGTACCTATAATATTGTATATTAATTTTCTTATTTTCAATCGAAATTTAGATGATTGCAGTTCTACTTTTAATAAAGAAAACAAGATCCACATTAAGATTAAACTGTGTGATCAGTATAGTTATTTTTCCAAGTATTAATAAACTTCCAATTGTTATATATTATATAAATATATATATTAAATATATGAAAATTATCAAGTATTAATATAAGGAAAGACTATTATTAACTACTAATTAGTTATCGATTTTAAATAGTAACACAATACTTGAAACTATAAATATATAAAATTAATTACTCATGAATGCATCGATAGAAAATAGTTGTGTATTATAATATTCAAAACATGTAAGGCTTTCATATTACCATGATGAAGTACGTCATTAAAAATCTATAGATAAATTTAACTATTTAATTTTTATGTCATTAAAGTTTACACGGTATTAATGATTATCTCATTTCGTAATAATTAGAAATTTAGAACAAATATTTCACAAATTATAGGAGGATAGCTATTTGCTACTACATCAATAATTCAAAAATATTTAATAGTAATTGAAAATGATATTTCATTAATATCTTTATTTGATAATGTACATTAAATCTTAGTGATAAATTTATAAAACTGTTATAACTATTGAATAACTATTATAATAAAATTGTCAAAAACAACTCGACAAAATATATTCTACTATTTCAGTAGAAGTTGCACGTAGTGTTTATAAAAGAAACATAGTGAATCAAAGAAATATAAATTCTTTATTATAAATAATAAAGAAATATAGTGAATTCCGCACATATGAAAAAAAATTTGGAAAACAAATTATATTAATGTTTAAGTTACGGAAATTACTTACTTTAGAGTATACATATTTGTATAAATGAATTTTGGGTAAAATTAGATATATACCTATTTTTAAAAAATTTAATTTAAATCACATCAATATACATTATAGTATACTTGGTTTTATTTATGTTCATATTTATTAAAAACATAACATGGCATTTCTTCACAAATATACACGAACTTATTAGAGATAAACTTGACCCCTAGCGGATTTCCAAGAGTCGAGAACTTCAATTTTATACATACGTACTGGACCTTGAGCTAATGAAGCATCCAGTGTCTCATCATTTTCCGAATCAGGACAATCATCAAACTGAAATAAGTGTAAAATTATATGGTAAATGATTTTTAAGTAAACATAAAATAGTCATAATAGGAATAATTTAATAATTATTAAGAATACTGATAATTGATTCATTTAAATAATAATGGCTGAAAATGAAAATATTTGGATGCAGAATTATAACAATTTTATTTTAAGTATATTATAGTTTTTATTTTGTAGGTATTTATTTATTTTTTTTTTTTACATCCTCTAAATATGCATAAGACTTTTATCAGTAAATTTAAAAAAATGTTTTAAATTATAAACTGCCTATACAATTAAATATCATTTGATCAGACCTTACTTAAGAAATATTTTGTTCAAATATTTTTTTTATTTTTACTAAATCAAATTTAATAAAAACCAATTCGTACACTAGGTTATAATTTATTATAAAAAAAAAAAAAAAAAAAAATGTTGTCATATTGTTGTGAAGGGTGTATAGCAGGGTCGGTCTGACCCACCCGGATACCCTGTAATCGCCAAAGGCCCTGAAATTTATTCTCAAAATTGGGGCCCAACAAAGGATGGATCCACAGTTAGAGCACGGTCATTTCAAAAGATACCTATTAGATCTGAGAGTAGATTATAAATGTATTCCTTAAAGCAAAAAAACAATAAGACATATAATATTTGTATTTTAAGTTTATTCATAATTATCGTTGTAAACGTTTATCTTATTTTATGGAATCTTACATGGAGTCTGACATATAGATGTTTTATTTTACTATACAATTAAACCAGTGGCATAATATTGAAGGGGGAGAAAGGGTAAAAATTAGTGGCATTTGCCAGTTTAGTTTTAACTTCAACTTATAGTCGACACATTTAAAAATGTAAGAAATCTTCAAGAGGCCAATTTTGTCAACAAATATTAAGTGTGGGTCAGTTAACCTCCTGAATCTTTCCTAAATCCACCACTGGGCTCAAAGAAACCACGCTATCATAAAAAATTATAGTAATTTTTTTCCTGAATTAAATAAAAATTATGTTTTTCCTATTTAAATTTTTAATTATTATTGACGTGATTGAATATAACTAGGTATAACCGCTATATTTTATACATTTTTGTCTTCTTTATTAAAATTAAAAAAATATAAATACTTTGGAAAATTGAGATAATCGTTAATAACGGTTAAATACACGAACTCAATGATAATTCTATAATATTGGCTATAGAAACAATTTTTAAAGAAAAATTAATTAAAATTTGTAGGAGAGATTGAAAGTACAGAGAAAAAAGATTTTTAGTAGGTATTTATTGAATCTCCTCCAATATTATGTTATTTAGCGGCCCATTATAAATTTTTTGTCGAAGGTCTAATTATGAGTCTGATCGACACTGGTGTATAGGATTGAAAAATATATTTACTGTCCTAATATAATAATATGGTTGGGTTGAATATAATTTCACTTGTAGTGTTTAGATTAATATTTTGGCAAATTAAATGAAGATATTTACTATAGCATCTTATAGTATTTTTTGTAAATTATTGTTAAACAATTGAAATTACAATGAACTCAGTTTTTTTCTGATTTAATTACCGTAACTTTCTTGTCAGAAAATATTCAGGAATAGTTTTAAGTTGCCTTAAAAATATAGTACCATTTTTCAGACACGCACCCAAGTAGGGTTTAGTTGTTACTCCGCCCCCACACACACACACGAAATGTAAAAAAAAAAATTATAAAAAAATTACCTGACCTACAAATTCAATAATTTCAAAGTTTTCCATTAGACTTAAAAATAATATATTTATACATTGTATAATGGCTAATAAAGCATGCGATTTGTCAACATTTTACTTTTTACATATATTCAAAACCTGCCTGAAATGTTTTCCTGCATTCGTCCCTGCTATTTTTATTTGATATTTGTTATTAATAATATTTCATCCTAGACATTAAAATTGATATTCTCCGTTAACATATGGTAATATATTGTTACAACATCATTAAAAATAAACTTTAAAAAAAATTTAAAGAAAATCTTATCAATAACAAATTTAAAAAACTGAATAAATGATTATTTTTCGTTCTAATCTAAAAATAAAATAAAACTGATAAATCTATTACAACATATAAGAGGCTTATCATGAGTATTTTTAATATTTATTTCATAGTATAACACGAAAATTTCACATCACGTCTTTAGTCAGTAATTAATAATTTATATGATACGTATACAGATGTAATAGTAATAATTGTTTATATGATTCATTATATTTACAATGTCGTTTCCATTGGAAAATAAATAACGTCATAATAATGTGTATATCTATAACTGATAATTAATACTATAAGCTATCAAGTTTATCTGAATATTATTGCTTTACATTTTGAGTAGAGCAAGGAGAGCACATATTATTATTATTATTGGTCATAAATATTTTTTTAAGTAATACAATTTATTAATTTATATTTACATTTCTTCATCCTTAAGTCTCGTAACGTTAGTCTTAATGTAGGAATCCAGAAAGAGGAGTTTCGTGTTTAGACCCTCCCACACAAAAAATAAATTTGAAAACTACAAGTATACATATTACTTCACATTAAACATTGGTTTGATATTGGTTGGAAATCAGCATTTTTTGAATTTTCAACTCATATGATTGTTATTACAAGAGCCCTTTTGATAAATTTCATGTTCATGTCTCTACATAATTTATATAGCTATGAAAATTAAGTACAATAAACTATAGGATTATAAAGACTTTAGAGACATCAAATTCTGAGGAATCAATTCAGAAATAACGATGCTGGATAACAATACTAAATTAAGTAAAAACAAAATCAAAGATATAAATTATATACATATATATATGAGGCGTATACAGAAAATATTTTCGAGAGGGACCACTATGGACAGAGTTAAATTACCTCTGCTATCTACGAATTATTAACAAGATACAGTAGGTACTTATCTACATTTCATTTACAGAATGTCCCAAAACGATTTAACGTTGGACGCAAATTCTAAATAAGCATAAAGAATCATTAAAATATAACAAACGTTTAATATAATTTTTAAGTTTTTTAATACATTTCGGGAGGGGGGCTGTAGCCCACTAGCTCCCTTATATATGCCACATATATATATATATGATATATTCTTAAATAAAGAGTATACACTTCTAGCAAGACCTGAATTTGTGTAATAATAATTAATTAATTATTCTGTTCATTGAAAATTACAATAAATTCGGTTAGTGAAAACTGTACAGTAAAATCATCATTTCACGTTATAAAAAAAAAAATATCGTAATTATAGAAAATAAATAAAATTAAACGAAAATATTACAGTAACAAAATTATGGATATAAAATATTAATACATTATTTATATATAACAAAAATTGTTTTTTATTATTTTTATTAGCATGGTAAATCATTAGAAATAATGACTACTGGATACTGAATCTCCTATAAATTAAAGATCCGAAGATTTGAGTTTAATCATTGGAAACAATAATACATGTAATCTGTACATTTTGAATATTATTTTAAAATATATGTCAAATTTTTTGTGATAGAAATTCAAAATTAAATGATTATGTAATAAAAACAAATGAATAATTTAACAAAGAACAATGTACATTTTTAATAATATGAAACCGATTTTAAAGTATTTCAAATTTTCTGTAAATTATATAGATGTTTCAAAATAATATTTTATAATATTATTAAACTATTGTATTATTAGTATTGACGACTTCAATAAACGTTTTTTTGCCTTGTACACAAAAAATAAAATTATAATAGAATAAGAAGTTCCTGTAGTTGTTATTGTTAACAATATCATTAACTGATTAAGAATTACATTTATTATCCAGCTAAAATATAAAGAAATCAATGATATTTTATTTTTATTTATTAGTTATGAATAGGGCTCGGATATTGTAGCATTAATAATGTTAATTTTTAGCTCTTAAATATGCACTCAAAAACTCTAATATATGCGCTATAAATAGCACGAAAAATCAAAAAATATGCATTTAACATGAAAAATATGTAATTTTACAAATTGTTGGGCTCTTAGACACAATCTGGACTGATTGAATTCAAAACTATGAACAAAAATATTAAATTACTTAAATATATTTGTAAAAATGTACTTATTATTAAATTATTTTATACATTTACTTTGGAAATTATCCTAGATTATTAAAATGTTTGATAATGTAATTATTTCCTACATCATGTAAAAATATACCAGAAAATAGCAATATAAACCCTAAATTAGCAAAATAGCAATAAAACCCATAAATATGCAAAAAAATAGCAAAATTAAATTTTGTGTATGATATCCGAGTAGTGAGAAATATATTTGTATCTTACTTTAGATGTTCTAAGATGAACCAAAAAAAATATGCATTTGCTAGAACTTCCGAGCCCTGGTTATGAATTTATGGGATACTCATTTTTTATTTAACACAGTTAAGGTGAATCATATCTTCTTTAGTTAGAGCATCTAAAGTTTATTTAGATAATTCACCTAGTCATTTTGTATGTACAAGTGTGTAGCTGTCATCGAAATGATCAGATATTTTTTTTTAACTGATGTAATAAAAAAACCTGCATATTTATTATAATTGCAATGAATAATCTTTTTACCATTCTACTTAATTACTACTTATTTTTTAATAGCCGCTATAACTATTTCATTGATTCGAAATAATTCGACTATTTACATTCAATTATTTTTGAAAATTATTTAAAATAATATTCCAATAATATCATAATAATTATGAATTGAGAATTAAGAACTAAAAATTATTCTTGACTAAGAATATGTCTATGAAATATGAAAACGACGATTTTGATTATAATATATTATCAATGATTTATGTAATAAAGCAGTGCTTCTCAAACTGGGAGCCACGAAGTATGTTACTGGTCGACCGTAAAAAAATGATTTTATCTAAACTATAATTTATTTGACGAGTATTTAGATATGTATTAAGGTTAATACTATAATAAAGTTTTTTTCAAAAATAAATTTATAAATATTAATTTATTAAACATATTAATAGTTAATCTTTGTAAAATAGTATATGTAATTTTGATATATAATTAAGAAAAAAATAATTAATGATTTTAATTACGGTAGTTCTGGTAGTTTTCATGACAAAAAATGTTGAGAAGCACTGTAATAGAATAATAAAAAATAAGAAAGTGTTAACTAATAAGTGATAAAAACTTAACTAAAAATATAAAATAAATAAATACTCTATATTACAGAGGTGGCCAACTTTTAAAGACTTGTGATCGAATTTTGAGTTTTTCTTTGTTATCATAATCGACCAAAAAAATAATTTTGTCACTGATCAAAAATATATTCAAGCATGTTGTATACTACACTTTATATATTCTTTTTATTTAAAATATTAATAAATAGTAATAACTTTAATTTTACAATTTTAGATGAATTTAAAATAGAGTCACGATCGACTCGAATTCAAGTCAAGATCGACCTTTTGGCCACTCCAGATATGTTATGTACTGTAAGTCAAGTAAACATTAGACAAAAATTAGGATAAAAATATTCAAGGATTCCTAAAGTATCATAAAAAAATAATTTCTTTTAAATTTTTGTATAAATGCAAATTTAAATATTTAAAATAAGATTTTCCCATTACAAGGATGACCATTTTATTATCCTGTACTTCAGAAATAAAAATGGTTTTATTATTCTATGTTCATATGATGTGTTTTCAAGCTTCAAGACAATGCAACTATGATTAATGTCGAAATATTACTGATGGTTTTACATGTCGTAAATCATGGTATCAGATAGCTCTTTTTCATTATATTAAAGTATATTTTATTTTTATTTATATTATTTTATATAATAAGCTAGGTAACCTAATGTGTACCGATGATATTAACTACTATTTTTTTTATAACTATCTACTTTTAATTCTCTTAGTAAACTACGTTTTGATAAATGTGGATTATTTCAGGTAAACTAATTGTTTTAATACATTAAGCCAAGTTACCAACTCTATTTACATACTATGTTATAATAACACATATTCACGTTGGTACATCAATTATTTGTCATTTATATTAAATTTAATGATCAATTATAAATGATTAGCAAAGCATAAATGTGAAGACAAACAGGAGCGGATTTATGAGAAGGGGCTTCGTAGCTATCAGTTTTTTTTTATCATAGATTTATTCAATGTTTTTAATATAGTTATAAAATTATACAAATAAATATTATATATATTTACTATCGAATACTATGTATACTCGTATGTTTGTCTAGGTATCATGTTTCATGATAATAAATAATAGTATAATGTATAATATAATATAACACTAGTAATAATATTCCTATTTACCTTTCCCCCTTAAACAAGATGAAGATCCGCACATGAAAACATAGAAATGTGTATTGCTTTTTAATAATCATTATTACTATTCATTCATTTACTACTGACACAAAATATATTATAGCATTTACTGTTTGTTTCAGTAATAAGCTCTAAGTGTACGGTAATTGTATAATGAAGTTAATTTATGTTATCAACTTTTTGAGTAATAACTAAAAGTCTTGTATATATAATATCTCATTACTCATTAGTGATTACTTATTAGAGCAAAATTAGATTTGATATTCTCCAAGTATACACAAACAATATAACTAATGCAATAAAAAAAAACAATTTCAGCGGTCTTACTATTTTAGACTCTGGGTTAAACAAGAAATATATTAGTTTTAACATTTTTTTTTTTTTTTTGTGTTTGTGTATATTTGTGTATATTTTTATTAATTAAACCTGAAGGTGTTCTTCAATAATTACCATATAAATAGTAAAGAATTAAAGAATAGAAAATGGGTTATAGTTAGTAGAAATAGAGGATCATATTTTAAATTTTTATTAATTTTTCAAATAAATATTGCAAAAAAAATGTCAACCGAGATTCAAACTAACAATCACAATTTTTTTGTTACATTAATAAGAAACTGTATTTTAGTATTATGTCAATCATCTTCAGAAGTTAAATTGATCCACCCGAACTCTTTTATTCAGAATCGTTTATTTGAGAGTAATGGTTTAATAATAATAATAGTAATGATTACATTGGTTTAAAAATATGCGGTAGATATTTTATTGTCTTTGTATTTCTTTATAATTCCTTCAATGTATTTAGTTTTTCCCTTAAAATATACTTGGGAAAAGTTGTTTCAATTTTGTTAACGTTAAATTTTAAGTTGAATCAATTTTACCAGTTCTATGTGTATTATATATTTTATTTCTCTAGTAGATTATTGTATACAAATTGTTTTTAAATACTCAGAGCTGTGTGATAACCCATGCACTTACATCAATTTCTGTAACAATGCTTTTTCCAGCTAGACCCGTATCTGATCGCTTAATGTATCCACTGGTGGCTTTTTTCACCTTCGTCAAGGATTCTAAACACTTGGAACTTAAATTTTGTCGACTATCTACCATACAGAATGCTAGTATTAATAGTAGACATATCGCTGTGATTACCCAAACTATCAACTGAGCCCAGTATGGATACCTTGTTTTAGTTAAAAAATTCTAAAAATAAAAACATTTAAATTATAAGTTTTCAACATATTTAATTAATTGATTAATATTATAAAATCATAATACATATATTTATACAATGCGTAAACATTAATGAAGAACACTCATATCATTACGTAGATATATGAAATTTGAATTATATTTTTTATTGATTGTCTTTAGTGAAAATCAACAACAATTAAAATTATAATAACGTGTAAATATCACCTTAATAAACAGAGGCGAAAATGTCAAGCTTTAACAATACTAGAATAATAAATTTCAGAGTTACAGCCAAATAGCTGAAAATTGCGTATATATTTCTGTTTTTTTTTTATTAAATTGTAACTTGGTCAATTTTAGACCTAGAAAGTTATTCAAATTACCAAAATCCATTAAAAATTAGAAAAAAAAAAATGAATAGCTACAATACATATCAAAATTTAACTAGCCAACTAAAATAATTATACTACGCATGCGCTTGTCCAATTAAGTTTAAAAAATGCAAAGGTCCTAATAAATATATATATTTATGTAAAAACAATCGAGTAAAAAACGGAATGCACATTGCAGAGCTCTATGCAAAGATATTAAGTTTTCTCAATCAGTGTTTACACACTATATATACGTATATATATCTATTATATATGTTCAATGAACATTGTTCATAGATATTTTTTAAAATATTTTAAAATAATTTAATATATGCATTTTACAGAAGTTTTATTGTCTCTATATTAAAAGAAAAAAAACATGATTTTAAAATATTTTAAATACCTACACTTCTATGTGTCCAAACTTCGTATCTGAATCCATCTAAAACACCAACCGTCAAAATAGACGAAAACGTTAATATCAGTAAAATTGGCGTCACGTGTCTCCAAATTAATATAGAAAGGCGACCAATTGTGTGTCCAGTCATATCGTAAATATCAAGTAAGAATCTAATAATAAAAAAAAAGCAAAAACAAAAAAAATGTATAGTCATAATAACTAAATTATATTTTTCATTGTACTTACTGTTTATAACCATAGATGAAAACAATAATAAGAACTTCGCATAGTGCTAATACTGTTAGACATGAATTTATAAAGATTTCGTTGTATAGCGACAGCCAATATACACCTGTTCTAGTTGTGAATACCAATCCGCAGACACAGCATATTGCACAAAGCATACCTTTATTTAATAATAAATAAATGTTATTCAAAATTATATTTTTAGGACTCGAGGGAATACTAAAATTATTTATCTACAAAGAACCTTCCTCCATTTACGTATTTCAACCTTTAGCAAACTTGAATAATAAAATATGTTTGTTTTGATTAAAATATACATTTTAAAATGACATTAATCATCATTATATTTCAGTCGATAAACTTACGTCATATAAACTGTAAATCAAGTATAATGTATTTAAAGTTATTCATCAGAAGGTTTCCAATTAAAAATTAAATATTAAAGTAAATAAAAAATAAATAAATAATTACATATCTAATGATGTTAAATTTAACATTAAACCTTTTAAAAGACTTATAAATACTATTTTTATTTAAGGTACACTATCACGTACATGATATACAAAATTTAGATACTTTTTTCAAGCATTCAACTTCGGCAAGTGCCCAAATGAACCAGCTTAACAAATGTACCAACCATGCTGTACCAAAAGTAAGGATTAAAATCAGTGGAATGTTAATGACAATTTTTGTTAAATTATAGCCAATAATATTTCCAAATGAAAACGTTGTAGTGAACTCTCCAAGGGCTATAAATATTAGTCCAACACCATTACTTGCCTGTAAAATATTTTTAAAAATTGTTACTAACATAAAATTATATTCCGTATTAATATAATTTTATTAAACATGAATGTGTTATATATCTATCTTATAATTATGATTGATATATTAATCAATAATAATTTTAATTTAAGTAAAATAAAATAAAACTTTAATTAATTCAGAAATAAATAAACAATTTATATAGATTATTCAATAAGTTCTTATTTATATATGGATAATATATTAAAATCTATTATAGAATCCCATTGACTATTAATTATTGAAATAATAACAATTAAGAATAATTTTATACGAATAATTCTAATACATTACCAATTTGAATTGATTTTCCATGTTACATTCTTGTACATCAAAATTCATCAAAGTGTCATCAAGTTTTCGACTAGCAATTAATGCATCGTAGCTATTACTATAAAACACATAGGCGGGCATCCCTTTAGAGTTATCCCATTTATATGCCGATCTGAATAAACAATATACGGGACGTTAATATAAAGTATTTATACTGATTAGAAGAAATTTGAACTGAATTTGTATGAAATCGAAACAACGAAGAATTATTATTAGGAACAAATCAAAATGTTTCGTTTCCATTATATATTCATATATAACTATATGATTATATGAGTTTTTATTTATCGTTTAACTATACCCGATTACGCAAGTCTTAATATCTTGCAGAACATTTGGTATTATCGTTGAAATTATAAACCAAGTCCATATAAATACTAAAATGAAACTGAATGATACCACCACAGTAGCAGTCAATAGAAAATTGCTTTTGCGTTTAGAAGACGAGCCGAACGAAATCCAAGAACCATGCAATAAACCCAATGAACAAAATACTTGTATAACTGCGTCAACCCAGATAGGAAGAACCAATAAGTCTTTTAACTGTAAATTAGTAATATTTTATCTTATTTGTATTTATTTACATAAATATTAGATTAACAAAACTAAATTACCTTAATGGACGTCATGTATAAGAAACTGATATATCCGTAACCTGATTCTACAATGTATAAAACAAGAAACAAGAATGGCGGAGTGACACATATCATAATTTTAACAAAGAATGGTAAACATTGAAATATTGAATTCAAAATATTAATAATCGCCTAAAATGAGAATAAATTATTATTAAAAGAAAAAATGTATATTAAACTTCAAGATGCATACATTTATGTATTTGTTTTTACAAGTAATCCATGTTGCTGCCAACATTATTGCTATTGAGAGCCATGTGAAAAACAATGAAAATGCTTGGTCCGCTTGCATATCACTAGATTCATCCATTGAATTTGTTATGTTTAGTACAGATTTGTGCCAGAATAATTGAGATCTTTTTGGATCAATTGGTGGTTGACCATTTGATGGCCATAAGTCTGGAAACTAAAATAATCTAATTAAATCGAAAATATTTATACTTCGAAAAATATTAAAATTAACATCAGTGATAGGGTTTATTCTCGTACATTCCTGTAATTAATTTAAAATCGTCTTTACATTTATACTATAAACGATTAATCTATATATAAATATATATTTAATTGTTTAATGTTCATCTGTCACACAGTAAAAACCTTATTGAAAAAAAGCATTTTGACCCAGATATAATATATTCTTATGCATTGCAGTATTGTAAGTAAACAATGTATGATCAATGTGTAAAGTCAAGGGTATTAGTAAAATGTTTACTTACATAACATACACTTATTATGTATATTTGTATATTTGTTTTCAAGTTCAAGATTAAATTTATCTAAGAAAATAACTAATAATTATTCATTATTTTGAAAGACACAATATGAATCTTTCTTTTTAACTATAATAATTTGATAATAAAATGCATCTATATTTAATTATAATTATAAGTTATAAACTCCAGTATTATAAAACAATAGAGCTTATAGGTTTTATATAGATTAAAAATTTTCAACTAAGTAAGTTTGAAGACTGTAATTATATTATAACATATCTATTATATTTCACATTGCATTTTTATAAAATGTTAACTTTGAATGGATTTAAGCTTTATTAATTTTTTATAGTAATTAATTAATTAATTAATTTAAATAATAATTTCTTATTTGTTTTGACTACTTAATATAGTATTTTCCTAATGTATTTCAAATAATTATTCGGTGAAAATTTGATGTCGTTAGGTACACTTTTTATAGGATCTCCAAATTTCAAACTAAAATTGTTATACCAAGATAATGTTATATATTGATTATATATTTAAGATGGGGAAGGGGGTTTGCAGAAAAAAAAATACCACCTCTATCATAATTTTTTACGGTAAATATAATTTTATATATTTTAATGACATGTTTAAAATTACGTGATTCTAATGGAAGGTATGTTTAACGTAGACTCTTATTAGCGTTATTTTTAAAATTGGTTTATATATTTATGTAGTATAATTTAATACTTGAATGTAAATATTTTAATTTATTAAACGTATGTACTTGAAAAAAATTAAAAAAAATTTACATTGTTATTAAATAATATTTCTCTAATTTATTTTATTAAAAAAGCTTTAATAATATTAACTAATGCAATATAAACATCAAAAGAACTGGCGAGTTTCTTTCTACTAATTTTGTTATCATATAACGATGAACGTTTTTCTTTAAAGTTTACAAACATTTTCATATTAATTTAAGATATATAATTTAAAAATATTCATACCCTCTTAATAAGAACAGGTTTTTAGTTTAAAAATAGTATAAGTTATTAATGCTTGTTGTATTTTAATTTTAATTGAATTTCATCGTTAATGAATACAATAAGAGAATAAATAAATTACTCATTTTTTCCTTAATTTAGATTCGTACTTGTATATGCTCCTATACCTTAAATTATACATCTCATATAATTTTAGTATTTTTACAGATCTTGATATGCGAAACAGCCACTTATTTGTGAATAATGGGAATATGGGGTTACAAGCATTATTATATTTTATTATGAGAGGGTGTAAAAAAAACCGTATTGTTAAAGTTATTCAAGCTTTTAAAAAGTAATTAGTTTCAAGCATATATATTTATAGATTTATTTTAAGTGCTAGGATTAGTAAGGATTTATTTATTAAATAATATATATATATATATTGAATACGTATAAGCTGTGGTAATTTTATAGGTAGTGTGTTACGAGTTCGTATAAAACCTGCAATTTATATTGTAAATCTACCGTATGTATCTATCGTATGATAGATCGTAAATCTATCGTATGATAAGATGTGTTTGGATATTTTGATTAGGTATATTATAATACATAATGTATGTACTACATATACATAATAATTAAATATATTATAAATACATAAGTACGTTGATTATAAATTAATTAAAATATGAGGTGTACTGATATCAAAACATTTGCAATATTTATACATAGTGCATTTTAATACGTTATAGCAATTAAAACATTTACTTTAAATGACTATTAAGCTATTTACAATTTTGTTTATTGATAAATTACGAATAGGACATAATTAATTTCACTCAATAAATTATATCAAGAATGAAAAATGTTTGACAAATATTAAAAAAAAAAAAAAATTAGATATTTACCTTATTCATGTCGATCATATATTTGGTGCCCCAAGCCATGATAGTACTATAATAACAAGCCATAGCGACGGTAACCAAACACATCACTAAACCAATACCTCCTAATTGAGGATTAATTGTTGTCCATATCGTAATACTATTATGTCTTAATTTCTGGCCAATGCCAATTTCCATAATGAGTAACGGATAACCCACTAAGCACATAACGATCATGTACGGTATTAAAAATGTACCTGAAAATTAAGAACATATTGTAGAACGTACGTATATATATATATGTATTATTTTTAAATAATGAAAATAATTTAAACCAAACAAATTGTTCAATATTTATTATTTGTGTTGTTCTTTAAACTCATTATTCGATAATAACGCATTACTGTCTTTTACATTTTGATAAACGATTTCAAAATTAGTAACATAGATATTATAGTTTTATTTCTAATAAATATGATCATTAAATAAATTATTAGCTATAACATATAGTATTTTTAAATGAATCAAAGGTTTTTAAATAATAATGATACACACAAATACAGTAAGTTATTAATAGGGCCCGGGATTATATGCATTTGTATATTATTATATATTAAACTAAAAATTAGCTAGGTAAGACAGAAATTTGAATCTTAATCTAATGTGTTGGTATGCGAAATTAAATTTGGCATATTTTTGCATATTTGGAACATTTTAAATTATGCATATTTTAGTATTTTTCTGAAATATAATGCATATATAGAAAAAAATATTACGAAGTTATTAAAATTATTATTTATTACTTAGCACATGTTCATCGTAAATCTCGTGAATCGTGCAGTTATATTAATTATTTAATGAATTGTATACATTTTAAAATTAAATAAATTTAATAAATAATAAACATGCATTTTTGTTTGCATATTTTTGCATATTTTTGTATATTTGAGTGCATATTTGAATGATAACCATCGCATAAATGCATGAATATTTCGTACATTTTCAGTGCATATAATTCCTGGCCCTAGTTATTAATTTTACCTAAAATTAAGAGTAGGAAACTCAATAAAGTACATTTTCCCTATATAAAAAGAAGATAATTTTGGAGTCTTTCCATGGCAAGTGGACTTTCATAGATGGACATAAAAGGATCGTTATTGGATAATTTGATTTTTCAACAACGAGAACGCGGGTTCATTTATAAACATTAAAAACAAAAAAATATACCTATAATCATTTTAATTCTTACATGTTTCATACTTAAAAATCAATGAAGTGTTGCATGTGAAGTTACATTTTATGTACCTACTTAACATAGGCATTACATGTCGTCACGTGAAAATTGCATTAGAGTGAGAAAAACGAAAGAATTGTTTAGTATGTTTAAATAATAATCAAATATTTAATTATAAATTATGTATATAACTAAATGTATAAGGATTTATATCATATTTATGACTAACTGTTATAAATACTTTGACTAAATGGTTGTATTTAAATGCTGAAAAAAAATTTCATGAAATGATCAGAAGAAGAATTCACTTTCAGGAAATATATAAGATACTTGTAATTAATTTAATTAAAAGTATATTAATACAGAATCGTACTTCCTAGTCATTCATTTTTTAATATACGTTTAATTTTCCTAATTTCCCTACTAGTTTACACATAATATCAATGGAATCAACAAAAAATTATAATTTCCTTATAGATATAAATACTGTCTTAATTGTATTTAAGTGTAATTACTATAATAATTACATTATTCCACGTTTCGAGTAATGCAATACTTGCTAAATTAAAAACTAATGACAATGACACATTTTTATTTAAATATTTATTAATTTATAAAAAAAAATATTTATTATTCTAATTTATCATGAATAATCTATATTAACTCTTATAAATAAATGGGTATACGTACACATATCAAAAACAATTCTCAAAAACGATCAAATTGCGAACAAAAATATTCTATAATAATGCAATAATTAAGGATTAAGGTAGGAGTCGGTAACTGGCGGACCGTGGTCCGGATACGGACCGTGGAAGGCAATACTCTGGACCCTGAAAAATTTTTATTTTCATACTCCTAATATTGTAATTTTTTATATAAATTAATTGTAATAACCGCATAATTATTTTTATTTTTATACTGCTATTTTTAAAATATAAAGATTTGAAAAATATTGTTTTTACTGGACGTCATTGATTTACTATTTTAATCTTTATGACTCTAATATAAATTACTTGCCGATCCCTGGATTAAGGGATCAAATATGTGGTTTATCTTGAAAAAATGGATCGAGGACAAAGTATATTACTAGACTAAAGTGTTTGTCATTACACGTACACTATAAGCCTTACTTTAAATTACGGCTAGACAGAAGATTATGGTATCCGGGACCTCGGGTCCACTATTATGAAGGGTAAGTTTATGCAACTAGCGTAAATTATTTATCACAATATAATTTGGACTACGGAATAGTAGACTAACATTTTAATAATTTTACAATACTCAGGAAATAGTAATACATTTTATAATTTTTTTTAATGTTTTAATACATCTGTAAACATTTAAAAAAGTCTCTGATATAATTACTTATTTTAATTATAACAATTTAGTTTCATCAAAAATGAAAATGATTATCAGTGTTCAGTTTTCAATTTATAAACGTATAATATGAAACTTTAGGGACACTTTTTATCTAATAGTAATGGATATACGGAAGATAAAGAAAATTATCAAACACGCTAAATTGTAAAATTAAATATTTCTCAAATTTTGTTAAGAAAGTGGAAATGCAAATATTAAATGTCAGAGAGTCATTAGGTATTATAATCAAATTTCATAAGTTCTTAATTTCATTATGGAGTGTTAATAAAGCCTCAGTATTTATACACTCATTATATAAATGCGTGATTCGGAGAAAATATTAGGAAGCTTAGCTCTAACAATCAATTTAGCTCTATCCCCTCTCTCAAACAAACAAAAACACACACATACATATACTTGCATAGAAATCGGGAAATTAACACTATGGTATACAAAATCAATTCAAATTTTTTGATTATAGATACTGCATTATTTTATTGTGCATTGTATACTGCTGCGAATGTGGGGGGCAGGGATAGGGGCATATTTAGAATTGTATTTTGAGGGTCTGGGGGTCTTATACAAAATTTCACAATTCAATCAATTAAAAACAAAAATTAAAATTTTAATTTATATTACAGAATCTTAACTCTTTTTTACAAAATCAATAAAATTAACTGAAATATCTTCATAATTATAACTATCATTTAAAAAAATGAATAAAATATAATACCTACATATTAATAGAAAATTAATAGATACACTATACAACATGAATAATTTGAAACTAATAATTCGTAAAAAAAAATGATAATAAAGAGGAAATAGTAAAAAGTACGATTTGTCAAATGTGTAAACATGTCAAATGGAAAATTATTATTATTGGATGGTGGGCTGATCATGCGGTAATTTCCCGGGCCGAAATATTTAGCCTATCCGTCGCTGGATAAATGTATAGTATATATTGAATTAAGTTAAGAATATTTTAGTAAGTACCATTTAAAACATAACATGGGATATTAAACGGATATTTTATATAATTTTATTGAATTACGATATGGGTAATCGGATTTTTTTCAAACTGATTGCAATATAGCATGTATTAAATAAAACCTATTGCAAGACATACTTGGTTTTATTTCGATCGGTAATCGCAACAAGACAATGACTTCTACTTTATAAGTCCGTATCGACCATCAAGGTATATTATAAAAAGTTATTATTTTTTTAATTCAAGTCACATTTTTATCAAAATATTATAGCAACGATTATTTTAATAAGGTATTTTAGTTAACACAGAGTGTGTGTGTAGAAAGGAAGCATTTTTCAGATTACAGTCTATATTAGGAAGCCACAACTCAGGATGAAGGAGATGTTAGAGAGTACGACAAAAAAGTATAAAGAATTGAAGAGGAATTGTTGGGTTGTTTGGTAACCGAGAAAGTAAGGCTAATCTGCAAATAGAAATATAAGGGCAGTCGAGGATTAGATGTTGGATGTTGATCCTGTATGGTGATACCAGAGGATTCAATGCGAGTATACATTGGCGAGTATTATCGTCACGTGAAAATCATTCGGACGTTGCGTACGATGCGACATCGCAGAGCTAATTAAAAAGGTAATAAATTCGAGACTGATTTCGTTCTCTCGTAAACAATTAATGTTATAACTACAAGACTCACCGCCGCCGTACTTGAGGCACACGTAGGGAAATCTCCAGAGCGTGCCCAGCCCGACTATTTGCCGGCAGGCGAGCACAGACGTTTTCGTGTCGTTGGTGGTCGGCGCCCGCGGCTGTCCCTTGGCGTTGTCCGAGCACGCGGCCGCCGTTTTTTTCTGACGCCGGCCGCCGTCGGCCACGGGTTCGTCGTCGTTCGCTCGGCCGCAGCCGTCCGTCAACGGCACCAGCTCCTGGTTGTCCCTGGGCGCCATCGATGACGCGTGTGGGGACGAGCGCGCGCAGACGTGTGTCGATGACGCGCGTGGCGAACGACCGCGTGTGACAGTTACGTGATGAGCACTGAAGTCGACGTCCCTTCGGAGGGACGGGTGTAGAGACACGGTGTCGTAGCGGTGCGTTCGCGTCTCTGTGCACGCGCACACCAGAGTAAGGGTTGTGCGCCGATGTGGGCGCGTGTTAAGCGCGTGTGCGTGCGGGACGCCTGCACTCGGCACCCCCGTCCCACGAACGTTAAAAATCGTTGCCGAACACTGCTGTGCGTCGTCCCTTGTGCGCATTTCGGCCGCCGGTGCGCTGCGCGCGCGGTGCCACCGGAAAGTTTTGCGACATGATGCGGACATAAGGTCGTTCGACCGTCTCGTGAATGAACCGTCGTCTCCTAAACTTCCCTGTCATCCTGCTCCCGCCCGCTGCAGGAATGAACGGTTAAGCGAGATTAAGGGATGAGGCGGGCGAGTCGATCAAGTGTTCGAATTACGTTTTACAGCCACATGTCAACGAACGGTGCGTTTAAACGTTGGAAATTCAAACGGTTGTAGTGTGTGATATATATTCTCCGTGCGTCAATTTTGGCTCGACTTGGCTTTATTTAACCTTGTTTGACCAACACCAAGTGTAACGGTTTTACTATTCTTCATATTTTTTAACTGGTACAAAGTTGTATTTACTTATACACTGCGTATTGGTCAGATCACTTTCTTTATTGTATTCATTGTATAGCACTGTTGAAAGTTTGTTTTGATGAACAAAAGATAATAAAATACCAAACACTGTAAACAACATTATAACACAAATAACACAGTCTATGCATTTGCAGTCTCTCCATTTCCAATAGAATAAAAAAAAAAAATTAAAATAAATACCCCCGAAAGTTATTAATTGTATCAAATGTAGTCTCGACAATCAATAATATTTTAATTCGCCTCTACAATTGTATTTTTAATAACACATAACCATTATAAATGTGTAAGTAATGATTTTCACATCTGACAATAGGATATTATTATACTCGGGGCTTAAAGTGGCCAAAAAGTGCAGGGTAACTCTAATCCATTTATCATTCTTAGCGTTCCATATATTCCCATACTACGTACGTAATTAATTATAAATATATTAGGTTATTTTGAGGTGTTGTTAATGAAAATTTTTCTCCTCAAACTATTCATTGTAAATTACTTGTTGTTTTAAATAACATATTGTAAATATATTATAATAAAATTTAAATTAATTTAAAAAAATTATATGTAAGTATATATTACTATATAATTTATATTTAATATGAGTTAGTTTTGTTTGTAGACTATGTAATACTGTGTAACACCTAGTGACGACAGCTAAATTGCAAAGCCAATTGTTGAACTGTTTTATTGAGTGTTTCGATAAACTTCTCAGAGAAACAGAGAAGGACATATAGGCGCTATAAATGGTAGGAGGACTGAGTACCCGATATCGGGGTGTGTTGTGAATGTCAAACACATGGGCAGAGGGCCCCAGTCTATAATTAGACCCAATAATAAAAATTGTAAATATATAAAAAAAATAAAATAAAACCATTTTGTTATAATAATTATTAATGGAAATTGAACAATAGATCGATTTTTTTTTTTTTTTTTGTACACATCATCGTACATCAACATTTCTTTTGCAGACTGTATAACCAAAATTTAAAATAGTTTAGTTTCAATTGATTAAAGTTATGATTCCTCTGAGCGTCCTGATTCGAAGAGGGGGAGATTTAATTACATTTACACACGGAACAAAATCAGTGTAGTTGCGAGACTGTATGCCTTGTTATCAGTGTTGTACAATAGTTAAATTTATCTAGATGTTTCTAGATAACAAATTCATATTTTAATCTTATCTAGATAAAAAAAAAAAATTAATATCATCTGAATGAAAATTATGGTCATCCAGATAAATTTATCTAGATCAGCGATTCCCAAACTGGGGGTCGCGACCCCCTTTGGGGTCACCAGCAATCTTTTTAGGGTCACCAATATATAAAATAACTATTAAGGTGTTTTTATAAATATCATCATCATAATGATTGTTAAGAATTACAATTGGTAAAAGTTTAGGATTTTCAATTTAAACGTTATATAATTCATATTAATTCATCACTACTTTTTAATGTTATCATAGTAAAAGGGTCACTCAAAATCTTGGTGACATTATAGGGGATCACGACCACAAAAATTGAGAACCGCTGATCTAGATTATTCATAAAGAGTGAAATCTGTACTGGATCTCGATGTATCCGATTATAATATATAAGTTAAGACAGGATCATTTAATGAATTGACAAATATTGAAACGCAAAACGTTTCGGATGTTTGTTTATTTCACTCCCACTCGTCATTTAGTGTATCTATAGAGAACTTAGTGTAATGCGATCATAATACATTTCGTTTATTTTATGTGTATACCGGACATTTTTTTGTTTAACGCTCTTCTAACGTGTTCTTGTACATTTTCGTTTCTGAATCTGCCATATCCTATATATTCAAACGTCGTTAGATCTGTTTGTAAATCTGTGATTTGGAATTTTATATTTTTCCACAATGGACGTGAGTTTGGACGAATTAATCAAAAACAAAAGATCGTCATCCCACGGAGGACGCCGTGGGGGTGAAAAACAAGGCGGCTCCAGAGGATTCAGTGGTGGTAAACGCTGTGGCGGAATATCAAATTTCCGATCAAATGGAGCTGGTGGAAGCGGTGGTGGTCTTATGCGCAGGGGTAGATCCATGGCAAGGCGATCCAATGGATTTACTCCTTATTCGAAGGTGAAAAACATGTAAATGAACCGACTACCATTTGTGAAAATTCTGTAATTTAAATTTGGTTTTGTCGAGTTTTGTTCTTCAGTATTACGGATTAACCGTTATAAGTTGTAAAAAATTATTTTTATTGCAGTAACTAGTGTTTGAACCTCATCCTTAATTATTACTTGTTTGTTATTTGAATCTTTAGTAAAATTCGTGCTAACATTGATCAGGCCCTCCTAATGTAGGATTTATATTTTTAGATAAATACTTTTTTATAGATTATCTAATCATGACCCTTGGAAGGCAGTTATCATATTAAGGTACGGTTTACAAGTTGTGGCTGGTTGCAACAACTGGCCACTGCATATTGTCTGGTTTTCAATGAGTTATGCAAAACACAGCATTGCAGCGGAAAGTTTAGTAGGTTCCTAATAGTGCAATGTTCAGACGTATTTAATAATGTATTTAACTATATTTGTATAAACATAAATAATTAAAATTAATAACTACATATTTCATACTACTAACTAATACTAAACTAAGTCTACTAAGATGGAACAGATTATCATTAATAATAATAATTATAATCAACTGTTATTGGAAAAATAGCAAGAAGATGAATTACAAAATAATCTTTTAATAAATCTATTTTTATTACTATTACTATTAGTTAATAAAACTAAGAAAAAGAAGTTTTTTTTGAAACGTTAATTTATGGATATTTAAATCACAATAAACAAAAAATGTAGCTTTAGTTTAGCTAGTTTTTCCATTTAAATTATGACCAATTTTCATGTATTTACATTGAAATTGTAAAACCAAAAAAAAAATTAAAAATTTGAGCACAGTGCGACTAGTCCTAAACCATTGTAATTGACGGTCATGATAACTATTGTTCACACCCACACGTCAATCACATTCTATGCTAGGGTACTTATTTAAGTAACAGTCAATAGAACGATTGTTGCAGTTGGTCGTAGCTCGGAAACCTTACATTTACACAATCCCCATGTAACTATACAAATTATTATTCATTATTATATTTATAGAAGATTTATACTTATATAAGTATATTGATACAATATATATATATTAATTACAAATGATTTGTTAAAATTGATGATTATTTTTTCACCAATGTTTATAACAATTTCGGTGAAATTTCAAAATAATATTGGATTTTTAGAGGAATTTTTATAAGAAATAGGTTCTACATTTATAACTCGTTAAGTACCTAATTAAAAATATTATTGATAGTCATGAATGTCTATTCTGTTAGGTTGATTACTATTATATATTACCACCCTTGTAATTAGTTGATTATTTGTATATATATATTTTTTAATATATTGTTTTTTTTATTTATTATTGAACTATAATAGTATTGGGTACCTAACTAATTTATAAGTTATACAATTCAAAACAAGGTGCTTGTTCTAAAATTTTATATTCTTTTGTAAAAATGTTTCGTGAAATCAATGAATTAAAAAAAAAAAATTGCCTCTAAAACAATGGTAAATTTATACATATGACTATTACTTTTTTATCCTTAAATTAATCAAGACTAATATATTTATTGGTATCGTTGTGAGGACCAACAATAAACTAGGTATATTTTAAGTATGTTCATGAATGTGAACACACTTATTGTATATAATTTTTTGTTATATTACTATTTAAACGTTGTTATTAATACATTATGTTAATTTAAATGAGTGAATAGGTTCAGTAGTACTTCATTTTATATAGATACCATATATATATATATGAATTTTATATAATAAAAAAATATATAATGTTTAATTTTTATTTTATTTAGGCCTATGTAAATTCATCATCTACCCATGATTTGTATGAAGAACCTAAAAGACAGCAAATTAGAGGTGGTCTTTCAACTACTAATATTCATAAAATTGTTATATCAAACTTGGACTTTGAAGTTACATCTATAGATATACAGGTTTGAATAAAAATTTTAGGAATTTTTAAATTAATGTCTTTTTATACTATTAAAACTTATTAATGTCTGTTATACTTAAGTGTTGATCAGGGTTGGACTAGGACACCGGGGCACCAGGGCATGCCCCGATGGGCTGCTGTAATTTTGGTTAAAGAAAATTACTTAGATTTTTTTGTTTTTAATTTAATGCGTCAATCTTCTATTCGTAAAATAAAATAAAAAATATCGTCTTGTAACATGACATTACTAATGGATGCGGTGACACAGGATTAGGTAACTCGAAGTTTGAAAATTTAACATTTTTAATGTCGCGATAGGCCAATTGATAACAATGATTTCATCAGAATATTTATAAACAGAAAAATTGTAGGAAATTTGAATACAAAAGATGCGTACAATATGTTAATCATACGAAATATCGTTCGCGTTTGTTCAAACAACATTTTATTAAAATAAAATGTTGGTATGGGTTATGGTCTTAGAAGATTAATTTTTTAAGACCATGGTATGGGTAGACATTGTCACGCAATATATGCGATAACGAAATTGTTTTTCGGTAGTAATAATTTTTATAAGATTTATTAGACTTTTATTCAAAAACATTTTAATAGTTTTGACGTTCAGTCAATAACAAGTCTGTTACTATTTTCCAACCTTAATGGACTTTTGGGCCACATTCACAAATTAAAAATGGTTCTAGAGCCAGACAATATAAAAAATGTATATGATATTCAATGACATTTGCTAGTTTTGAAATTTACTGTGGGCCGCATAAAAGAGAGATTAGTTGCCGACCCCACTGTTCTAACTCAATTAAAATTAAATGTATGAACATATTTAAATCAAATCATTTTTTATGGTGTAAAATTTATCTTAATAGGTAGGTCATTATATCAATATTATAGATAAGATATATTATGCGTAAACTAAATTTTTTAAGGTATAACATTAAATATGAAAATATTCAAATGTACTTGTGTGAATATTGTTTTTTGAGTTACCAAGATACATTTTCAGTTAAACAATAATTTGATCAGGTACCTACCTACTTATAAAGTTTCATTGAGGCCGTTCGAAATTATTTTGCCCGGGCCGAGCTATAAAGCTAGTCCAACCCTGGTGTTGATAATTTTAGACCTAATGCAAGTATTTACTTAAGTTAATATTTATGTTAAGGTATAGTCAATTACAATATATCTTAGTTCTATAAATTTATTAGGCAATAAATATCACTATAAAAAGTCAATGAAACTACCAACCAAAGTTTATTTTAATAAATATTCATATTAATAAGGTTTTTTTTTTGTAAATTATTTAAATTTTATAAGTCTCCATATTCACTTATAATTAAATATGAAACTTACTATTTAGGAAAAATATTTTTAAGTTTGAAATATTAAAAAAAAAAAAAAAACTGCATAATAATCTTAATAATATATACTTTCTAGTATCATTGTCTATAATAGTGTTAGCGAACAAGATGTTTTAAGAAAAAGTTTAAGAAAAAGAAAAAAAGTTTTATTATTAAATGATTTCTCTATTAATTGTTAATAAATTATAAGTATATGTTATAAAAAACTGGTATATTAATTTTTCAAATCATCAAAATATAAATAAAACTAATTTATGTTGATAGGTTAAAATAGAAGTTGATAGATTTCCTGAAATGTGTTTTACTGAAAAAAACTAGGTTTCATTTTATAATCAATGTGAAATTCTTCTCAGTAACTTGTGACTTTAAAGAAGTACCTAATCTATATACTTGTATATTCCTTGATAAATTTCTGGACTTAAGAGTATTTTAATTTTTGTCTTGTGTTGGCTGGAAGTTATAATTTGATTAATTTGTATATTATATATTAGTTTTAATACTTTTTTTTTTTTTACAGGTGCTATTCAATGAGTTTGGTTCATTGAAAACTGCAGCAGTTCACTATGATAGATCTGGGAGATCTTTGGGAACAGCTGATGTTGTGTTTGGCAGTAAAAATGCCGCATTAAAAGTAATACGTCAATACAACAATGTACCACTTGATGGTATGTATTTTAAATATTTTGTAATTTTATAATTTTATTTTTAATTAATTTTATTGATTATTTAAGGTCGTCCTATGAAAATTGAATTTGTAACTGATTTTTCAACTATTGCCAACCTTGCTCCTCATCTCAGTAGACCAACACCATTGCCTGTACGAGGTATTCGTGATGGTATGTTCCTATATTGTACTAAGGAATATATTTATTTATATATTTTAAATTAAATTATAATAGTTATAATTCAAATTATTTTCTTTATAGGAGTAAGAGGTAAACATGTCAAACGTGAAAGTATCCGTGGTAACTCCAGAGGACGTGGTGGTAAAGCTGGCAGGAATAGTGAAAAGAAAATGCCAAACAAAAATGAATTAGATGCACAATTTGATAGATATATCAAATTTAACAAAAGCAAGAATAATTGATTTCATGTTTATATTTTTGACTTTTTTCTAATATTTTTAAGTAAACTAATGTTCGAAAATTCAAACAGTGTTACTAAGTTATTTGACAGATTAATAATTAGATAAATTATATTAATTATTAATAATTATTAATTAGACTTAATAATTTCTTGATAGATTAATAGCAATTATGACCTGTTGATCTCCATATTTGGCCTTTAAATGTATATTATGTGATTTTGTACTGCATTATGATTTTTATTATATTTTTATATTCAGTCCCAGACATTTATTTTATTTTTGAAACTCAAATTATATACTATAATAACGATTTAATGTGTTAATGAAATTAAGAAGTACTATGCCTCAAAAGAGATTAAATAGCTTTCAACTATAGAGCAATATATGACAATAAATTAAAATTTCAAAGACATTGGTGATATTAAAAACTAGACTGAACGCAGAATTGTTTTATAATCAATTATAATTATTTATGAAATTTATTTTGTTTATTCATCTAAGTATATACCTCATCACGTTTTTTATTATTTACTCTATTTAAATAAATCACTCAATCCATTTCAAATGTTATGTATTTAATTTCTTTTTCGAAATTTATTCTAAATTTTAATTATCAAGACAGTTATAACAATGAGGAAATGGCTATTCAGTCATTTTTTTTAGGAAAAATTAAACAGTTAGGTATTTAGATATTTGTGTAAATATTTTTACCTGCATTTTGAACGCTTAAATTAATTTTCAGTGGTATTGGGGGTAGGCAGTGGCACCTTTTTGTATACTCTGTAAAAGAGGTCTATCTACGCCTATGTGAACCGGTAATGGTAATTGGTGCAAATTTCATATTTGTAATATCCCATGGAGTGATCTCGGTCTGAAACATTACCCCATTTATACCGCAATGGATATTGAATTAATTTTAGGCAAATTATACCAGGATATTTATTTAATACATTATGAATTTTTTCTTTTATGGCCACGTTCAATGGTCCTTGTCGTAATGTTCTATGTATTTACAGTTTCTTCTATGAGTCCTAAACTTTGAATTAAAGTCAGTCTTCTTGTTTCTAGTTTTTTTATTGTTTCCTTCAAAAATCCAAGCAAACGTTGGCACAACCTGTTTTATTTTTTTAAAGTTCATTAATGTAGGTATATTGACTCGCTGTCAATACTTCAAACGCAAACACATATTAATAAATCATTATCAGGTTATAAAACTCGAACCTATATCAACTGTAGATTAAGTTCCATTATTGGTATTATTTTAATCACGTATTTTTAGAAAAATGGGAAATTGTCTGTATTGACTACTATAATAATAAATCTAAGGTACAATATTGAACGTACTAATAATTTTATTACAATGTCGTTATTTTTCTCTTCATTTTTGTGTCTCGTTATGATGTTGCAACTATGGATACGATTTATATGAAGTCAAATTTTTATAACAAACTACAAATTTTTTTTTTAAAATTTGGCTATCAATACTAGTTTTTTATCTAATGAACAGTATATGGAACATAACATAAAACTGTTAATGAGATGTAATCAAAAAAGGATTTATTGAGTTTTTTTATTAAGTAGGTGTTGTTTTATGGCCTTTTATTTTATGTGATCAATAATTTTATTGTTGTATTATGATTAGTGACGTATTTAAATGGTGATTCGGGAAGGCTGTAGCCCCTTTGAAATATTTAAGGGAGCGACAAAATTTTTACTGTGATTTTAAATAAAAATAAATCATTTTTTTCGCGTTCACAATGGAAAATTATGTATGAATGATAAATAAATAAAATTGTATGAAAAATAAATATAATACTATAAAATTATTTATATGATTTAATTGGTTAGGTAGCGTATAAAATTCATATATATTTAAGAGTATTTTATTGAGATATAAGTATTGGTTTAAACTTGATTTTTATGGGGATGGGACATTCAAACCAAAGAGCAAATGAAGGCATTAACTAATTAAAAAGTTAATTTTTGTTAAAACTTTTTAATTTAACTAGTTAGTTTATTTTCTAATAAACGTTTTAACTTAACTAGTTTAATTGGCAGTTGAAATAACTTAACTTTCCACAGATGATTTAAAAATGATCCATCAAGTTAAAAATTTTGACATTTTTCGTTTATACGTAAATATTAATATAAAAGTAAAATAATCATGTAAAGTAAAATAATCGCATACACTGTACATCAGATGTTATATTAAATTTTCTTGGTTGGGGCCCACCTTTGGGTATTGGGTACTGGTCATGGATACAGAATGTTATGTATAAAGAATTTTAACTATAAAGATAAATAAATACGGTAATGAGTGGCCCCTTGATGTACAATGTCATTTTTCAATCGTTTCGGCGCCACTGCTATATATTATGATAAAAATCTCAATACAATTTTGAATTATAATTTAGGAAATTAGATCTTTCTAAAGAATGCAGTCACTTTTTATGTGATCTACATGCTAATTAAAAAAAGTAGATTAACTTTTTTTTAACTTTTAACTTATCGAGCTAAATTTGTGAATTGTTAACTTATCGGTATTGTGTTAACTTAACTCAAGTTAATTATTTTCATTAACTTGCCCACCTTTGTCAAAGAGTACCATCAATGTGTCTCATAAAAGACAATTTTCTATAACATAATTTAGGTCATTAAAACTCAATTATTATTTTAGATATTATATTATATTACAAATATTGCGTAGTAGTGAACTGAAATGGGGGAAATTAATTTCGAGCGTAGTAAGCGAATTTTTAACGAATAATTTAAGACACTTGTTTTTAGCAGATGCGACACTTCAGTTTTAAAATAGGGCTGCCAATATTTTTACCAGGCCACAGTTATAACAATGAAAATTGAAATTTAGGTATGACGCTACCTATGTTGAAGTTATTTCATAACTTAGTATTAGGGATAAAAAATAAACCTACAAAAGAAACTGCAAATTTAAAATATAACCCAGTTTCTTTTGTACTTTTTTTAGATTACAGTAGTTATTGGTGAACAACTTTTTTTGTATAATATTTAATATGCTGTTATGTAATCTAGATTACACTGTCACCTATAAGCCCAATTCAAACATTAATCAATTCAATTTAACTCCGACACATCGGGCATCGGTACCAGCATGAAATTAAGGCAGACCAATTATGGTACGGGGAAAAATAGGGACACCAATGTATAACCAGCGTTCCCCAAATGGCATTTGGTTTTTAGTTTTGTTCTAAAGAGAAGAGAAGATACGATCCTGATTTAACGCAAAAATAATTTGTGCACGTGAACTCAGTAACAGTTAGATATAAGTAACAAATCGAAGATTGTTCTAAAATTTTCAATTAATTTATAAATGAAATGTTTAAGTTTTTGATATGGATTGCATTCAGCTGATAAGTTTAAAAAAAATCTGTTATGGTTGATACCATGATCTACAGCCATGGTATTACAGAATAAATTAAATATCATGGAATAAACTTTTTTGTATTGTAATTATTATGTGAGGTTAGCTTCTATACGATATCAATCGACTTTCGACGGTCGGTTTTTTCGATTTGTTTACGAAATCCATCAAAAAATTGATATCCTTTAAAATTAAAATTACGACTTTAATTTGAAATATACTTTTGATTCATATTTTTTAATAAAATAATTATCTTCATTTTTTTTCAGATTATTGTTTGTTTATACCTGACTAGAAAAAACCCGCTAAAATGTAAGTACATATAGTTAGTAATTTTATTAAAATTTGCACGTTGATAATTCTCATTATGCCTTAGTTTGATATAATGCTGAGTAAAATAATTTGTTTATTATGAAACAAATTTATGTATTATTTCCTAAAAATAACAACCTCTTTATTATGTTTATATTTAATAAATAAAAAAAAACTGTCATAACTTAATATGATTCTTCATTTGAATGTTTATCATTAATAATAACATAATTTTATCTGGATTGTTGATTTTAGTTTTACATTTTTTGCTTATACACATATTACTCAAAGATTGGACAGTAATAAACTTATGAAACAATAAGCAGTCTTAAATAATAGAGGATATTTGTGTTCAAAATATTATAATTTGATACTTTCAATTACAAAATTAAGACCAAATAGAAACATTACAATTTAGATATAATTATAATTATCTAGAAAAGATTTTTGTTCTTTTTCAATAATTACAGTTATGATTAATGATAAGCATAATTCTAAATTATTTATTGATACTATAATTTAAAACTTCTTTTTCTAATATCATAACTTTTTTGTTTAAAAAAAGGTAAGTATTAGATATAATATATTCGGTACTTGTCTGTTATCCCTACTACTGCAACTACTTAATTTTGTTATCTCAATTACCATGCCGAACATGTTTGGGGCTCCGCTAAATGAAGAAATAACAAGCATAGGGGAACAGACGCCATCATTTGGAGTATTATCTGGTAGAGTTTATCTAGAGACATAACATTGAAGGATTCGATAACATATTGAAAAATATTTCCAAAAATTGGTCACCAAAAATAGAATTATAAACTTATGCAACTGTAATTTTGATAATTTTGATGATTTTTTGTTTTATATTATAATAACTTCACTACTGCGATCATTTTAAAATTTGTAATTTGACGTTTTGTGATAATTTTAATGATTTTTATGTTTTATACATGATTTAAGATACCTAGTATTATCTTAAATCGTGGTTTTATACTATAACTCTCCACTACTGTGATAATTTATAGGATTACTGATAATAAACTTTATACTAATATACATTATAATATAAATTGGAAATTCATGACGTGTATTATGTATTAAAATACGGAACTATCTGGATAGTACTATAGTAGTCGAGATAACAGAATTGAGAGTTGCGGTAGTCACGGCATTGAGCGGTAGTAAGGATAACAGACAAGTACCTTATATTCTTGTTTTTTATTATTTTTCAATTGTTCCTATAGGGCTGCTGTAGCAAACAAGCCAAAATCTGAAATGACTCCAGAAGAGTTGGCTAAACGTGAAGAAGAAGAATTTACCACTGGTCCCATGTCTGTACTGACACAATCTGTTCGTAATAACACACAAGTACTGATAAACTGCCGAAACAATAGAAAACTTTTGGCGAGGATCAAAGCTTTTGACCGACATTGTAACATGGTATTGGAAAATGTCCGAGAAATGTGGACTGAGTTACCAAAGACTGGCAAAGGCAAGAAAAAGGTAAATTTGATAAGTTTTTAAAATATATTTGTTATTATTAAATGTATTTATTTGTTTTAGGCAAAAGCAGTTAGTCGTGATAAATATATTTCTAAAATGTTTCTGCGAGGAGATTCAGTGATTTTAGTAGTTAAAAACCCTAAAGAAGCTGTTCGTCAACAACCACCTGCCCCTTAAAATATATTTCCTTTTTTTAAGAACTAGATTTAAGAAGGGTTATATTGTTTACATATTTGTACTATACATTAAAAACAATTCTACCTATCTAAAGTTTTTCTTCATTCCTTTTATAGTTCTGCCTTTGTATGTTAATTATTCAACTATATAAATTTTTGTATTTTTTAATATACCACTAAAATACTATTGTGTCAAAATGTAATGTCAATATATATGATTAGAATATTGTTCATTGTTTGATTCATATGATTTGATATTTTGGTAATGAACATTATTTTGGTTATTCATAAAAAAATGTGCATTAATTAATATCGGGATATGATAAACTCATATATATTTTTTAAATTAAATGTAAAATATACCCCAATCACTAAAGGTACAACTACTCAAAATAAGTGAAATAATATAATTAGTTTTACAGAATTAATACTTTTATTACAATAACTTATGAAATTATTTTCACTAATTTTAATTACAATTTCTATATTTTTTATAAATTTAATAAAATAATTATAAAATAAAAAAGGAAATTAGTTAGACACGTAATTTAATACTATTAAATTTGTACACTATTTTACTTTGTTAACAAAATTATTTATCTATATTTTATTTTATTTATACATTTATTTTAAACATTTAAACTGATTCTAATGTTAACTGATATTAATGTGGAACAAATTATTAATGAAACAATGGTATCAATACAGAATAATATATTTTTTACTTAGTATATATAAATTATTTTTTTAAATGTATACGATGCTATTTAATGACTGTTTATATTATATACAATTTAAATGCTGGTTAAATTATAATATGATATAAGTATACATTATATACTTAACAGAGTGTTCTACAAATTGATGATAATCAGGCAAGATTATTTTTGTTGTCGATAGTACACCGCTAATTCTAAATACAATGTTTCCAAGTTAATACGTCTTAATACAACTATATCAATATTGTAAATTAATCATGGTAAAAGATGGATGAATGATAATTACAATTATTTTTTGCGAGTTGATAAATTATACTAAGCAACTAAATACTTATTTAAATTAAATATAACTTCAACATTTATAACTAATTAACTACAAGGCTTAAAGTGTAAGAATAAATACTTAATATTACATAGCTAATATGACTAATAATACTATACTTACTACATATCTAAATAATTATATGATTTACTATTAAATTGGAAAATAACTACATAATTTGACACACATTGTCCCTTTAACATTAACACTCGCAACCTCGCAATTTAACGAGCTGCTCTAAAAAAATAATATTAACGAAATTAGTTAATTAGTAACTGTGCAATCAATTCGGGAAGACTTAGACCCTGGACCCACTGTTCTTTGGAAAATTTAGAAACTTAAAAAACTTATTAAGAATTTTATTGTACTGAAGTAGGTATAAGCTATAGAGCAGTTGCACAAATTAAATATATTTTATCCATGGCAAGTAGTAACAATACATTTTTAACTCGTATGCTCCAGCTTGTCTGGTCGGTAAAGGGTTCATAAATTGTTTATTGTCATAAATTACATTCTATTTTGGTTTTCTACGGAAGTGTACTTTATCAATTTTTATCATTGTTTTTATTTTTACTGATAACATTAACGATTTTTCGTATATACCAATTTCATACACCACAACGAACAAAAGTCAATACTCAATCGCCATGAATTCTCATTTATTCAGTCTTCCTATTTCGCTTAACCAATTAATCTGAAACGTCATTGCCATTTAATTGACTCGTCATATCTCCCACAGGAGGAAAAATAATTAATAATTATATAAATAAAATTATTTAGAAGTATTTTAAAACATTTATTAGTTAGTAGTTTAACATGTATTCAGAAAATGATTTAATGTCATTGCTTCTAATTGGAATTTTAATGTAAACGTCAGTAGACATAAGCTAGTGGAAGTATTGTTAACAATATGGCAAGTAATTACAGTCAAGATGGGCAAGTTCCAACTCCACCTCGTAGGACTCGTACGAGCACTTCAGAAAAAGTAATGATGGTTGAATTAAATTGATTGCATACCAAGTAATAAGTATAATTATTCACACCCTTTTAAAGGTACCTTATGTTGTGGACGTGGTGGCCGAGAGATGTATAGTTCCAGCTATGGAGAGAATGTCACGGAGGGATCCTGATAGGGCAGAAATGATGTCTCCTTTAGATCGTTTAAGAAATAGTATGGATGAAATATTATATTGTTTGTTATTTATATAATATAAGTATTTTTTAACTGTTTGAAAATAACAGATGTGGATATGTCAGAAAATGTTGCTAGAATGGCATCACATCTCAAACAGTTAGAGAAAAAAAGAGACGAACTACAAAGACAATGTACAGCAATTGAAACCATGAACAGACAAAGTGAAGTGAATAGATTAATTGATAAAAACAAAGAACTGAAACAAGATATTTTTGTGTTAAAAAATCTTACTTATAGGTATAGTTAATATTTTCGCTTTAAAATTATTAAGTTTATTACAGTTTTACTTTTATATTTCATAGATTGAATAGAGAACTAGAAAAATGTCAAGATAAATTGCTTTCAAAGGATCAATTCCCTGAATCTGGTAGTAGTTATATGCGAGTGCAAGGTAAGATACAAAACACTTGAATTAACAGGGCTTCATCATTTTTTAAATTAATTGTTAAAAACATACTTCAATATTTTTCAAACACTTAATTTTATTTTGATTTTAGTAAATAAACATTGTATACATTTATTTATGTTGTAATCATCAGTATCAATCAAGCATATGCATATCTGATCTAGCATTTATATTTATTTTAATTAAATAAGTAGTTTTTTGTTTTTGAACATAACAATTCAATGCATAAGCTATAATTGACTCATATATGTATATCACATAGTAAAAAAAAATGATGTTACATTGATTTATGTTTTATATGCTTAATAATTCTAACATCATTTTTTTTACTATGTGATATATATGAGTCAATTATATATGTGTTAAAAGCTTACAATACACCTTTTGATTTTAAACTTTTTATTTATTGTACTCAAAAATATTAAAATTGATTTTGTGAATATTGAAAGTAAAAAAAAAAAAAAAATTAATAATTCCAAATATTTCAATGACTTGATAAAATATGTATAATAATCATTGGAATGTTTATCATATAATTTTCATACTTATTTATTCATCGATTTAGGCAGGTGGTTGCTCAATTATTATCTTTCATCTGCAAAATATGCTCCCTTAACACAATGATTTTTTTCACTTAACAATTATATTTGTTTGTATAATTATTATATAATATGTATATTTTGTATTTAATATAAAATAGTTAGTTTTGGTATTAGTTTTAGTAAAATGGTATTTTAGTATACCATTAGGTTATTTTTATTTTTTAAATAATCAGTAGTTTTTAAATATCACAAAAACCTTTTCTATATCCATACACAATAAGTAAATCAAAACATACAAAACAATAAAAATGTTATGATTAAATAGATAATAAATAATTGGATATTGAAAGTTAAATTAAATTTTAGTAACAATATTATGACAAAAGTACACATTAAATAAAAATAAAATACTAAGGTAAATTATTTTATTTGATCAACTTTTAAATTGATTAGATTAGCAATTTTAATTATAATTATAAGCCCAATAACATTACATATTTTTTTAAACTCCTCAAACTCATTGATTGACATAATTACAAATGTTGCACTGATACTAACTTTCTAGGAACTTAATGAACTTACAAACTTTCAAGTAATAATATAAGCATGATTATACATGTGCTTAATTTTATACTCTTATCTGGCCTCCATATTTAGTACTATGAGCCTTAATAATCTAATGGACTTATTGTCAATGATATGTCCAATAATTGTCAAGATATAAAATCTCAATAAAAAAAAAAAAAAAAAAAAAAGAAAACTTATTTTATGTCTTGTGTTTCTTTAAAATAATAACATATACAATTTTAACATTATATTTGAATTATATTATTTTAATTTTTGCTCAGAATTTTTTTTTATATATGATTATTAGAGGTCGAATTTATATTCTCTTAAAATCCTTGAATTATGATGTTTCTATGTTGTTTAAAAAGGCAATATTTTTTTTAAATGTTCTTTAAAAATAAAAGATGTACATTTTGTTATGTCCTTAAAAATATAAATATTCTTTCAATATTTTGTAAAACAATAAAATAAATTAATAAACTAAAATTACCTTGTTTAAATTTATAATTTATTAAATGTTACTAGTAATTTGATTCAATAAATAACATTTTTGAAAAAAAAAAATAGGTTGCCAATTTAAACTATTTTTAGATTACCCCTAATAACAAGTGGTTAATTTTTATAATAACCTAAATGAATATAAAAATAACTCACATAATGAATATTGTATTTATTAATTAATATAATCAAAATGCCAATGTATATAATACATGGATGTGTAGACAAATAATGGTTATTATAATTACTAATTATTTTCTTTAAAAAAAGTATATACAAAAATAAAATATTCAAAAACAAAAAAAATGTAAAAAAAGTTCTCAAGTACTCTCTAACATATTGAATATTCCCTAACCCCTAAAATATGCTTCTTCATATGAATTCTATATTTCATGAATTGTAAAGATATCTCATTCCCATTTAACTGCACAGACTAGAAATAAATATGTAAAATCATAAAAATTCAACCTCTAGAGATTATTTATTAATACTTTCAAATTTTTACATAATATTTGATTTATACTAACATTCAGATCTAGTGTTTTACCAGTTAAAAATATTTACTTTGTTTTACTATTTTTGTTATAAAGTTATAATATTATGTATATATAGTAAATTTTTTAATATTATATTTAATATTACATTTTTATTACTATAAATGGTACTGCCTGGTTTAATATGCCCAAATAGCAAATTTAGATAAAATTTAAACATACTATGTATGCAAAATGTATTGATAAAAATGAGAAAATTAATTATATTTAAAAACATTAACAAACTATACTTTGATAACATACTATAAACATAAGATTGTTTACAGATATTTTATATAATTTAATTTCATGCAAACAATTTTTTTTGTAGATCCAAAAAGTATAAATTGGCGAAGAGAAGATATTAATGCAGTGTCACCTTTGTTAGAAGCATATCAAACATCTTTAGAAGAAAAAGATGTTACCATTGAAGGTTATAAAAATGAACTTGCTCGATTTTCATCTAGAAGTAGAGAAATCGCAGCTGAAAACGAAAATCTTTATCAACAACTAGAAGAAGCAAATGAAAAAGTACCCATTACATTTTAATGTTTTAATATAATTATAGTACATACTTTACTATGTATGGATTTTACATGTATCTTATTTTTTATCTTCCAACTATATGGGGTTTTATAATAATCATTTAATTGTTAAGGTTGAAGTTACATATGGAGAATGGAAATCATTGGAATCTGAAGTAGCTATGCTAAAAGAACATAATGAGTTATTGGTTAGACAAGCAAAATTACACCAAGCAAAGTTGCAGGATTTACTGCGTTCATACCAATCTAGAGGTAAGTTTTATTGAAAAGAAAATAATTTACAACTATTGTATATATTTTGAATATATTTACTATTAAATAAAATATACTTAATAAGTCTTCAGAAGTGCAATATAAATGCAATCAGGTTGTAATTATTAACCTAACAGTTTTATGAATAATATTTATATTTAAAGTAAATTAAGTAACTTAAACTGGTTTTTTTCTGTTATTCAATCTTTTTTTATCTTTTGGTTTTGGACTTCTACTTGAAGATGGTACAATTTTTCTTTTTGATCCTAACAACTGCATTTCTACATGGTTGATAATTGATTCATAAACTTTATTTAATGAATCTAATTTATAAAATAGTTGCTGAGATATAAATACCTCTGGATTAGTATGTTCCATTTTTACACATAAATTATATAATAATGATCCTTTGAAAAAATTTTCAATGCGACATTGGTCATATGGAAAATCCAGTAATGAATTGAGTATCATAAAAAAATACACACAGCTTTGAAATTGAGCAAATGGATGTATAATTTTGTAATATAAAGGTTTGTTATTATATTGACCAACACAAAAATAATTCTTCAAATTGATTTTAGCTTGTTCACAATCTTCTTTTTTTACTTTAATTATGTTTTCTTCTATTATACTTTTATTGGTAACATTTTCAAGTGTTTTATTATCAGTGTCAATTTTTTTGATAATGTTAAATGTCATAGCACATACAATTAAAGCATACACATGCGTTGATTTTTTACTATTCGTTTGTATTGCCCAGTAAATTAATATTAAAACAAATAATTCCCATTCTTTTGGAACGCCATTAAAATTTTTAATGCCAATCAAATTTAGTATCATATTTTTGCGATATTCTAAATCGGTTTTATTTATATCGGCTAAAGGTACATAAGGATTTGTTATTCGTGATTTTATTTTATACTGACCTGTATTAAGTCCATTTTTTCTTCCAAGAGTAGGAACTGTGTAATTTTTCCCTATTAATAATCCAAAAATAACTTCTAAAATTTTGAAAGAAACTTCATAATATGGAGGTTTTTGATAGTCCTCAATTTGAACCTTAAAAAATATTTTTTTTAATGTGAGTATTGTCATTACTTCTGAGTTTATAGTACCCTTACGATAATTATTTTCTAACCAAAGAGGAAGTATAGTTTTTTCATTAGGTTTTAAATAATTCTTTAAACCATCTTGATATTTAGCCATTCTTTTATATTGGAGTACAAATGTTAAATACTTGCTATCTGTATTTTTATATTCTTTCATAATGTTTTTTATTTGATTATTTACATAATCCCTGCTGTGTGGTAAATTATAAGTCATATTGTATAACGCATTATTGATATCCTTTTGTCTTCGTAACCATTCTGTAATTCGCTTAAGTTTTAATCCACAATTAAATGTGCCAGGTCTTAACCTTAATAGTGAAGAAAATGTATCTTGTCTTATATAATCATTTCCCAAAAGTGCAGCTATTAAAGGTAAATAACTTGTATGCAATCCACCAAACTCATTCAGTAATTTTTCCACTTTATATAATCGACAATTTATCATTGTAGATTTAAAATCAAGTGTTATCATATCTAATGGTATATATGGTACTGTATTCATATAAAAATCTGAATCACGGCTAATAACCGGACATTTTAATAATTTAGCCATAGCAACAATCTCGGCATCTGCTTCAAAATCACAATTTACATGTGGTATATCCATATCATTAAGAATATCAAATAATATATCACTACCAAAGTATGGCATACAATCACTAGTTTTAATTTGATTACCATATAATTGAATTCTTTGGCTCATACGATTTATAATTGTTTCTATTTTACGTTGTTCATAAGCACCATCAAATACAAAGATAGGTATTACTTTACATCTAAGAAATAAGTTGATAAAATCAATGTAAACTGTTGCCATAATGTCATAATCACCTCCAAAAGCACTAGTTTGGTTTTCATGCATTCTGTAGAGGAAATTGGTTAAAGCATAACCATCTATAATTACTAATGTATCGGTTAATTGATGATTTTCAAAATATTGTGTTGAATTATTTTTTATAAATGAAGTTAATCCAGGAATTCCCATCTTAATTTTTGATTGATTTTATTCTGATTTTTCTGTGTAATAAAAAAAAAAGAAAATATTAGAAAAGTATAAATAAAATCAAAAAATTCAATTTAATGGACAATTTGGCTTTTTCATAAGATATATTGTGATATATAACTTTATATGTTATTCACTAGAGATCTAATTAAGCACTCAACAGTCTAACCATTAATACTGATATTTTATTTAGGATACACCATTGTCATTAAAACATATATCTAAAAAATTATATTAATCATCCAATCTCTTACATATTATTTTAAATATATTTTAATTTGTATGATACTTTGTTATTAAACAGTTGGGTGTTAATAATTTGTATATAATTTAAAACTTTCGATTAATTACTTTACCTGATTTTGAGACGTAATAAAACATTATTATAATGTGCTTACTTGGTATATAGTAGGGATGGCAAATCCATGGCACGCGAAAATTTTTACTATTATATATTATATAATATATAATATTATAGTACCTATAATATAAATATTTAACAAAGCTATATTATTATAATTATTATTATTATTATGTACCTAAATTAATCTTTTTATACTAATACATTAATTATAACAATCAAATTATAATGTAACAAAATATAATATTTTTTTCATGGCATGCTCTATAAAAAAAAAAAAGGTAATTTTGAGCATGCAGTATTCAAAAGGTTTGCCATCCCTGATATATAGTATACATTATCTTAAGCATATATTTAAATTACAATTTTTATACTTTTTTTGTTGAAATATTTCAAGTTTGATAACTTAAAATGTTTTATAAATATTATATTTTGTAACTAAATCATTCTAATCCAATCTACCTAGTTATAGACTATTAATTGTGTTTAAAATGATACTTGTGACTATAGTATGTGCTGAAATCATAATTAAAGTTTTAAGGTTCAAAAATATTAGATTCTTTTATTAGGAATAATTACGGAAATAATGTAAAACAATTAAATGTGCAAATGTATTTTATTCTTAATATTTAAATATTATAATGAATATTGTTCTTACTTATAACATTTTAGTAAATGTAAACGAAACTTGGTATTTTCAATATCAAAACAAACAATATTTTTAGATAATATAATTTTAAGAATTCATTTTTATTACTGTGTTACATAGAAATTAAATAGGTTATTTGCGTTATATTTAGCGTACTTTATTTTTTTGAAATAATATAAAATATAATTATAAAAAGTTAATGTCTAATTATAACAATAGTATCGAATACACTCATTAAATGAAAAAAAACTAAATAAAATAACACTTAAATTAATCGACTCGATTTAATATGATAACATTATTTGTGCCTGTTATGATACGGTCCTCGCTAGTTACGGGAAAATAACCACATTAGTTAGTTATATACATTCATTAGTTACGATATTCGTTACTAGGCGCGCTTCTACTCCTACTTGTACAACCTATGGATGGGTTAGTGCGGATTACCAAAAATTTTACGATCTCTCTTCCAATCCTCTCGGCTTTTCTACTTTCTACACCAATTCAGTAAATTATCTTAGTTCGCGCCCCTAGATCGTTGTAAATGGTATTTAGAAAGTAGTACATATCTAGTTAATAATTTCGGGTGTTTCAGTTTTTTTACGCTTTTTATCTACAGCCAGGGGCGCCATTTTAGTTATTTTTAAGGGTGTGCAAGTAATAATTATTAAAGAGACCAATTTTTTTCCCACCACCAGGCCAACATTTATGATTAGCAGTGATTACTGATCAGCCGCGATGCATGCACAACATTAAAGATTGGAAAACTGAAAGCCAAAGTGGAAAGGCCATGTATCAGTGATGCCTAGGCCGATAATTAAAGATGAAAAAAATTAAGGATGTGCGAGTGGACATCCTGCTCCCTCCCCCCAAATGGCGCCCCTATGAAAAGTTTTAGTTGGAATAATTTCGTCAATACTAGTCCAAATGTTGACTTTAATCAACAATTTGAAAAATGCATAATCTAAGCATACCTAATAATGAAACATACTGTCAAATAAGTAATATAAATTACAGTAAAAAGATATTGACATTTAATTTGATTTTTAATGTTAACGATGGTTGAAATCTAACCTGGTCTCTAAATATTTAAGTAATTGGAGAAATCGTGCAAGTGTAAATATTCATTGAATTATTAATTCTCTTCGTCTTTTAGTTACTGAACTGAATGGGGAACGAGATCATCTGGCTGAAAAATACGAGAATGCTCGTATAGAACTACTCCATTTGCAAGGTCGTGTGTCTACATTAGCTGAAGACTTGAATCGTATGAAAACCGAAGATAATAATAAAATTCCAATAGCTGTACATACGTCTGCTGTAAACGAGTGTCGAAGGTACTTACTATATTATAGTAGAAATTAAGTCGATAATTCGATTAATTTCAATTTTAGATTTTTCTTTTGTGCTAAACAATTATATTTTATTAATTGTAAAACGACCTAACTCTATGAATACATAATTTGTATTATATATTATTTTTTTCATAGACTTTTCGAAGAGCTTAAGTGTCGCTACGACGACGAGCGTGACACATTGATGCGAAGATTGATTACTTTTGAAGAGGAAAGGCCTACACTCGATATCAGAATCGTTTCCCTTACCACCGAATTAAATCAACAGCGGTCTATCAACAAAACTTTGGATCTCCAATGCTCGTAAGACATCTACAGAGTAAAATGTATTGTACAGTTATACGAAGGCACAATAATCTGTTGTGATGGAGGTATATATATAAACAGGGCACTGAGATATGGCTGGGAAATACAAGGTGTGGATGTAATTCAACGTTGGTCCATTAAATGTGTCTTTGGCATTTCAGTAATGGTTCCTCCCGCAAACCTCTTTCTTTACCTTTTTTTATAGTTAAAACTTATGGTTTTATGTACATTGTATATGTTTGTAAGTCGGTATCAATAAAACAGTAATATAATGGCGTCCCTTAAAAAAAGTTCACCTTAGGTAGCTGCCTTATTCGACATATTCTTTGTATGACCTTGGGAATTTCGAGTGTAACGATCGAAGTGAATTCACTCTTAAAAACATAACAATTGCGATTTGCACAACTAAACAATTTTTATAAGTAATTTATTATTGGAAAAATAATCACACTTATTTAAGATTTAGCAAACATGCAAGGTGAAACTTATACCTATTGTATATATCATACAGTGAAATATTTATTTTATGAACACTTTTCATAGCACTAATGCTAGAAAACTCTTTGTAATGGATATTTTAAAATAGCTAGTACATAGTAAGTACATTTACTTTTTATGAATACAATTCATTATCACTTTAACAGAAAATGTTTTATTATCAATAGTTTATATTGGAAATCTTTCTAAATTACTTAACAATTTATACGACGAATGGGTCAATCGATTTAGCTAACTTTTTATATGATCATATTTTATTCTACATCAAGATCGTAGGGAAGTTAGTATATTTTATATTGTATCGTATAATATGAGATAATATAGCGGTGTCCTGATATATTTTAGACATCGCAAAAGATTCTGTCTTCCTCTTTAATACTTATACAAAAAAGCCCCTAATTTTTCTTGAGATCTACTAAAACAGTCTCATTTTAAAACATTTTTACGGGAACTCAGAATAGCTTTAAAATCTAACGTATTATTTAAATGTAAACCAAACATGACTGTATAATACTTGAGCCTAGCAGACGGTGGAGTCCTGTACCTATAAAATGGTTCTATGCAACTGCCCGGTTTAGATCTTCGCGGAATGTGAACAGAATTCCAAAATATGTCGGTTGATAACTGTACTACGTTGACTACTATGTTTGTCTGTCTATTTTTACCTAGAATGAAACGTTTTTTCTTGATATTTCGCAGGCAATTGAAAGCGAAATGCGATGCGTTGGAGAAACATCTGTTCGAATGTGAATCGGAAAAAAATACCAACAAGAAACAGTTAGCGGACGCCATGGTGTTTCTGCGCGAGACTGTCAACGAACAGGAAGTGTTGTTGCGTCGTGCGGCTGGCGAAGGCCGAAATGATGCTTCTGCTGCCATGTTGAGCGCTTCAATAAGTGCCCGAGTAAAAGCTCTCACTGAACACTTGAAGGTACGCCCCGTCGTAGTGGTTTATACGTAAAATTATTCGTATAGCCCGTGGAAAGAGCACACATTTATTAGCAGCCCCTCTCTTTCCTAATGGTATGAGGTTTTTGGTACTTTCCCGGATAAAAAATTGTTTTTCCATTATTCGACCTAAGGCGCAATAATAATAAGTATTATATATCTATAAGTAGACTCTCGATTATTCGACATTCAAAGGATTTTCAGAAGTTGAAAAAATCGATTTAAAGAAGTTTTAACGAAAGTTCGAATTATCGAGGGGGGAAAAATGAAATAATTCAAATTAAAGAGTGTTGAACGTATTTATCATTTAATTAAATTTAATGTATTACTTATAGCAGGTACACTAGGTGTACATATTACATGTACTTTTTCACGTTAGTTAATTTTTTTAAAATTATGAATTTTTTCATAATAAATAAAACCAATTGCTTATTAGAATCAATCGATTGATTGAAATTGATGTATTTCACCTTGGTCCAAAAGTGTTCCTAATAAGCGGCTTTTACTTTATATATATCAGACCTGTGCCCAAGGGGGGATTTTGACGGTTTTAATCCCCATTGAATATTTTTTTACATACATTTTTACTAAGAATATACCTAATCCTCATTCTATAAAAATTAAACTGATTTGAAAATTAGTTAATTTTTATAAATTTTTTTATTAACAGTGCCAATTTTCTCAATTTGACGTGTTTTTCTTATTAATTTTCGGACATTTTCTACCTACTGTCGATTATCGTTGTAAATGCAGCCATCGATAGAACACATTTTCACTGACAAGTCAGTTATTCAAGCTGTTCAGACATTTACTCGTACTTCAATTGCCACGATCACTTTTTTTTTTCGATAAGTGACAAATCACAAACAACTATACTTTAAAGAACCCATTTTTTAATTGATTACGTTTTACTATATTATCATAGTATATTTTTAAGGATTATAGTGGTAATTCTGTCGTAAAAGTAACAGTTATAAAAATGTTTACATTTCATAATCGCGTACGGAAATTTGTTGGATACATATTAACTATGTTAATAATAAAACAATATTTTAATGGAAAAAAAATAACATCCTCATAATTTTATCTCATCATGTGTCAGTATTTATTATTAAAACACTACGATAATTATGTATAATACATGTAACATTAAATTTAGGCATTTGGTCATAGTCGCAACTAGAGCCTAAATATTGGGGGCGCTGAAATTACATAACTCACACTAACCCATGGGGGGCTACGCCAACACTCCCTCCCTCCCAAGTACCTTATCTCAATTTAATCATTAAATGTATCATAACAACACACATACACAAATATTTTAATTTATAAATATTAACAAGTATAAATTGTAACATACCTATTTATTTTATTATATTATTTTATTTAGGTTATACAGCACTAAGAAATATACAAATTAAAAAAAAATATTATACAATATACAACGTATAATATTTATGCTGGTATTATCTTGCGATGACTAGTGGAATATTTTTCAAGTAATTCTGACGATGTAATTAACTAATTAACTAATTAACTAATAGTCATGAACAATTTGTCTTTCTGATAATAGCATCAAATAAAAATAACTATATGAAATAAGAAAAACACTATTTTTTCACACAGTTTTTCAATTATTAATTTTTTAACTGGGGGTGCTAAATTAGAGCCTGGGGTGCTATAGCACCCCCCCCCCCCCCCCCCCCCCCTAGTTGCGCCTATGTATTTGGTATTGACTGCTATTTATTATCTTGGTGACGAATGATAGTTGATTTGTTCACTTAAGTCGGGCCGGGCCTTTCAATATTTTAACCGTTTTCCAAGTACTTGATGTGGATTTTTTTATTTTCGATAACGAATCACTCTCTTTTCACGTAATATCGTTTAAACATTATTCTTATTTTGTGTTTATTTTTTTCGTAGTGCGTAGAACAGGGCGCTCATCTAGAAGTAAACCGTCTGAGCGGCCGTCTGTACGAACAGTCAGCCGAGCTTGAAAGAATGAAAAAGACATACGAGAACGAAATCAACGCTCTGAAAAACGCACTCCTCCAGAAACAGAGCGTCATAGATACGATGGACGCGAGTCTGGAGAGATAGCGATGGTGTCCTTGCGCCGCTTGGTCTTCGTTGTGGTGCCGTAGTCTTAGTCAGTACATAATCCGAAGGGTATGAATAAGGTTGTAATAATGGAAAAAGCCAAAAATTAACTACAATAATATAGCTTTATCAAAGACTTTTAATCAAAAAAATGTAACTTAACCTCAAAGAATTAAAGTGTGTTCGTATAAATATTATTCTAAGAACAAGTATTATATGTTATGTATTATTATTATCATTATTATTATTATTATTATTATGATTATTATTATTATTATTAAATTTTCGTTATGTAGTTATAGAATTTTCACAAAAAAAAAAATAACAATAATACTTCCCCAGAAGACGATGATAGTAACAATTTGGTTATATTATTGATATTTATTATGTACATGTACAACATATCTATACGATTATTAAAACTATTTACATTATTAAAAATAAAAAATAAAAAAAATAGTAAATATATTTCATTAAAATATATACATATACACATATGTATGTATGTATATACTGATATAGATATAATGTTTTTATTAATTGTTGGGGTGTTATTTGACTAGGAAGAATGATGAATAGTAATATATAGAGCTGCAAGTCGTCTGGGAGATATCGCGAATTAACGAGTTGAAAATAAAAATACATATTTGTTGCTATGTGTAAAAAATCGCACCCCTGTCAGTTTTTCTCGTATGTACAGTCTATCGTTTATATCCGGAACGAGAAATGCCAGTGAACGTTCCGTGCGAAATATTTTTATAGGGATTTTGTTCCGTTATTATTTTTTGTTCGTAAACCATTCGTACCTTACCGTTTTTATGCAATGTCGTCCAGCTCTAATGGAAATACATCAATTTTGAAAACCGACAACGACCGTTTGTCCGATTCTAACGAGTTAGAAGATTCGTTTAATTAAAGTATTATTGCGATAATATATATTATAATATTAATCGAGTCCGCGCGCTCGATCACCGGCTGCGCCCCTCGAATACGATTAAAACCATTTATTTACTGTTTTTTACTGTTTTCTTTTTTTTTTTTTAGTTTCCGCGTTGATCGTAATCAATTGAATGTGGGTGTTGGGGACGTTATCTTTAAACGAGCGGAGGCGGAACTTAATGCGAAGTGTTGCTGTACGCGTGAGAGCGAGCCGTTACGTATTATTGTTGTTATTGTTGTTATTATTATCCCGAGAACACATCTTCTATGTCGCGCGTGTTACCAGGGTTGATGGCAACGGGGGGAGGGTTGTGCGATTACGATTTCGTCCTGACCCGCGTCAACGTGCCGCCCGTCGGTCTGTTGGCCGACGACATGGATCGTCCGATCTGCCGGGACGTGGAACGGTCGTCCTTGATCAGTTTGCCGGTGCGGCTGGTGGTCCGGATGATCACCTCGTCCAACAGCGATGACTCCTCGCCCGAGCTGCCTCGGTTTAGCTGGCCGCCGCGGTTCTTACGGCCCGCGGCCGGCGACGGTCGTCTGCCCGCGCCGGCCGCCGACTCCTCCGGATCGCTCCTGGTCGCCTTGACGGCCGCGTGCTTCGTGCCCTTCGCGTTCGACGGCGCCCTGGGCGGCCGGCCGCGTTCATCGTAGTCCACGGTCCGGCCCTCGCCGGGCCGCGGCGCCCACGGCGCCAGCACCGACACGGACCGCGACAACGTGCGCTTGTGCGCGCCGCCGAACGCGTCGTTCTGCGACGACAGCTCTTCGCGGCTCGCCGCCCGTCTGCTCTTCGCCCCGAACACGGACTGATGCAGCTGCCGCGATTCCGGGATCTCTCCGACTGCACCGTTCATGAAAACACGCGAAAGCACATTAGCACACGTCGCTGATATTAGTATCGTTTCGTTTTTTAATAAATATAGGTAATGTCATTGGGCGTCAGTCGTTATCGCCAAAAGACTTGATTTTCGTCCCCGCCAAATTTATTTCTACACAACTGTCTAAATTATAGTTTGAGGACCATTTAAAGTTACCCAGGGGCCAACACGGAGAGGCGGTTCTTATTGATCCCCAAAAAATTGTTTGACTTAATTTTTGGATTCATATTTTTGAACTTCAGTTGAATTCTATTAATTATTTCGAATAATTGTTGTATACTTTTTTTAAAAACGTCATTCTTGAAATTTTTTTATTTTACGTATTTATTGGATGTATTAAATTTTATATTCAATAAATACGTATATTATTCAGTGAATAATATTCACGATTCATACTGTTATGTTGTCACAGTACTGACATATTCGATCACAGTACTCGAATCCCGATAACACAGACACTAACTACGTATGATATAGGTTATAACTTATAATATTATGTAGTTCGATTTATATTTATTTATAATACTTCGAAATTATTGAAAGTAAAATCAATTATCTCTTATATATTTTCAATATAAAATGTTGGCTTCTCCCGAATCTCGATATATATCGATAATCGATAGACTGCAGATAAACAAGGGGTTCTCAAACGCAATTACAATAATATAAATAGAAATATATTTGGCGGAAACGAAAATCAAATTTTTTGGCTAACCGCCCATGTCATTTACAGTCTTACTCGAGGGCCAATGAGGTAATGGTTTTTATTTTTATTATTTTTTTATAATGCGAGTGTTATTCTTGTATTTACTGTGTTAGTATTGTAGCAAACATTAAACTGTTATGATAATTTATTTATCTTTACTGTTTTGATCGATCATGACCGCAGGACGCGATACGCACGAGAAATTGCTGAACCGTCGGATTTGTGGTGGTGGGCGAAAAACGTACGTCGTACACGAAACCGTGTCAACATGTTGAACCCGAAAGCACGTGCTCACTACCTGTCTTAATTTATCAATATTGTTTCCAAGCGATCCGTGTCACTTTTTGTTTTCATTCTATAGTTTTCCCCGCAAACCTTTTTGGTACGCATCGTAGTCGGATACGCGATCGCTGCACGTATCTACGTGTACATCAGTGGTGGTTTTACGGGGAGGGGGAGCGATAGGTGGACCGCTTCCCTTGAGCGGTGTAAAAACTAAAAATATGAATGAGAAAACAGTTGACTAAAATCCGTTTTGGCGATAATTTTATGTCAAAACTGTTTACAAAAATGTTTGCTCCAATAGAAGTTTGACTGTTAATTAAGTTTGAATAAAAAATAATTTTTGTTTTAATTTTTTATTGACCTATATTTTTATGTTATACCATTGTGGTATAAAGTTTATAGAATTTAAAATTTAAAATACTTCTCGTGTATCAAACAACAGGAAAAAATGAATGGGATATGTATGCAAATTGTAAGTACATGGAAAATATTTTCGCCATCCTCCCCTCCTCTTGAGGTTTCTCAAGAACCGCCACTGGTGTATATACGGACGTGCGGTGAAGTTAGAACCGTATGGAGGAAAAGGCGATTTCGCGGCGCACGAAAAGTACACGTTTTCCGTTCGGGGATGGTAAGCACGTTTCAGATCAACGTCGACGGAAAACCGACCGGGTGGTGTTACGGTTGCGGGAACATGATATGATTGTATGTAAACTGTATTGCTTACGTACCCGTCGTAGCGTGGAGATAGACGGTGGACTTGTGGGATTTCTGACTGCTGTCGCCCTCGGTCGTGCTGCCCGCGGAGCTGTCGATCAGTGAGTGCCGCTTGTTGGCCATCAGCCTGGGCGATTGGTCCATGTCCAGTGAGTTAAGGTTCCCCACGCTGTGGTACGACCGGGTGCCCGTTCCCCTCGACGGGTTGGTTCGATCGTTCACCCTGTGCACCCTGATCTCGTCGTCGTTCTCGCTCCCGGACGTGAACGTCTTCGATCTCTGTAATACGCACAACGGTATAAAATACATTTATATTATATTTACTGATTGAAAACAGAATCTATGTTACGTTATACTATTAAAAGTTAAAAGGTTAAAAGTATCATGTCTTAAAATCGGTTATGTCACTGTGTTCGTGTAAGATTTGTCCATTCGTGTACCTATACGCATGTCTGAAATCGTGTACGACGTTCTCTAACGCTTTCAAAACGCTAATTGCGCGGGTACTTAAAACCACATTGGACTATCAGTTGCAGCAACAGTTAACTAGTTCTAAGACATAATATTATTAATCTCTGGGCAATTAATGACAAATAATGTTTTCGATAAAAAAAAAATCGTCTAATTTTTTTTACAAATTAAAGATATTTAAAATTTTCCCATTTCCCTGGAACAATGAAAATACACGAAAAAAGTTACAAAAAAAAAAAACCCCGTCAATCTTGCGACGGATTCTCAACTATGTAGTATACCTTGTTATTGCTGTTGTTCTTCTTGCCGAATCTGTCCAACGACTTGAACCACGCGTTGTTTCCGGTCGTTTTCGGGGGTTTGATCGGCGACGACATCCTTCGGTTTCCGGACGCCGTGCGATTCCCGTGCTTATTCTGTGTTGATAATAACAAAAATAAAAAACTGGTGTAATAATATCAATATTATGAAATATGAGGCCCTCTCGCGGGATTCAGCCGAACATCAAATTTCCAATGATGATATTTTGTATTGTTTTTTTTTTTTTATCTGCATCTCGATTTTCAATCGAGACCTAAACATATATATATAATTGATGTGGTTTTGTCTAGAGAATAAGTGCAAAAATAATTTTCGTAATAGGTACACTTCATATTTACTACCGTCGGTAAATACATCAAGTCATAATTTCTTGTTTTCCCCACAAAATTACATAGAAACGATGTTGTTAAAAAATATCCGTTCGAGCTCTGCCGGTAACGTCAGTATATACTCGATGTATTATATACATGATACAATAAAACGTATAAAATTCATATTTTTCATACTACACATTACATTTGAAATAATTGTTTGTAGCATGCGATGTAACCTTCAATTGAGATAAGCATTCTATATAAACGTACGAGTATCATGGAAATTATGTAGTTTTTTACATAATAAGTATAATTACCTACTTATAATGGCGATCAATAAATCTATTGCATAAAAACGAAATCTGAGTTTGGTAAGTACCACCACTATTTTTTTCCCCAGCTTACCCTAAATAGGTAAGTAAATCGTAGTAATTTAATGCGATTTATTCTGTATACGTATACGTAACCAATAAAATAATAAAAATTTAATTAAAATTAAAAATTATTAAACGGTTAATACATACTTGATAATTAATACGTAAATAAATAAACAAAAAATGTTTCTATAAAAACAAATAAATAGAAGCTTATCGTAGTGTATAATATTTGTAATTGACCTATTACCGGTTTTGAATTAAAAATGTTGTCATCAGGTATATACAAAGTTTATAAAATTGCGGCTGAACTGGGAAAAATAAAATCGCAACTTAATAAGAAAAAATAAAAGAAGGAGAATGCATTGAAAAAAATTTAGTCGTTTTATGAGTATATATAGACATAATTTATTTGGCTGTAGTCATTTTTCACCAAAATTGACCCAAAACATAAAAACATGTGTAATTTGCACTAATATTTTTTAAATGCGTTTGTTGTTACCCCAAAATAAGGTTATGTTATTTGCACCAAAATTAAAATCTATTATTTTTTCGATAGTAATCAATAGTACCAACGTACAAGTTTCTTGGTATCGAGGTATAAGAATCTAATAACAGAATTTTTGGTTTTAGATTCTGAGTCGATATTTAACTTACACCGAGGTCTTACGGTACTTCAGTATTGACCTCAAAGCTACCTTATAAGAATAGTCAATAATTTATGATAACAGTAAAATAATTTCATTATTTTAGGTAAAAAATTATTATTGTCATTCGAGTTTATCTAGTCTCGACGTCTATACCGAGGAATAATCGAATATTCGATAATTGAAAAAATAGATATATTCATTTTGGTGCAAATTATAAATTTTATTTTCGAATACTTGAGGGTGGTGCAAATTACAAACACAACTTTTGAATACCTGTGCGAATTACATATCTTTAATTTGATGCAAATTACAAAATCCCATTTATTTAAACAGGAGAAATCATTCAAAATGAGTTCCTGTTAGACATATGTATGTTAAGAAGTACCTACAAATACTTTGATTACTATTATTTATTGTTATCTAAAATGTATCGGTATAAAGTATTATTTTTGAAATCGGTTTATATATTTAAAATACTGATAAAATTATGTTTCTTTATTTCATTGTGAACGCAATCAACATTTACATTAATTCGGTTCTAGGAGAGTTACACATACACAACGAAATGAAGAAAAATTCTAATAGTATATTCATTTCTATACATAAGCTTATTTATTTGAACGCGTAACTGATTTCGCGAAAATTTTTTATAGCACGCTTTCGAATTTTCCGGCACATACTGCTTTTTATTCAGCCGCGAAGTGCGCCGTAGTGCACACGGTCTCGGGCCCTGATCCGGATAACGCAAATCTATGACTTCGCGTGTTGCACGGACAACGTCTGCACGGGATTAATATCGATTCGGATAGTGGCGTAGAAAGACTCTCTAGCGCCCCTGGTAGGTAAACTTAGAAAAAACCGCTTTTTAACCAATTAAAATTTGATTATACAATTTATATTTATAAGTTTTTATTACAGTGTTCATTTTAAACTTTGAAAATTTGCTTTTCTCGTTTCATGACTGGTAAATTAATCGATAATTCCTTCATATGAAATTTTTTATTCAAATTCCCCTGTGCTATTTTCATAATTTCATCGATAAATTCACACGCAGACAACACCTACGTATTTCAAAAAGTATAATGGAAAAATGTCGATTGTAGGGTAAAAATACGACTTATGCACAATTTTGCGGTACTTTACAATTCGCGCTTATGGCGTAAGCACAGTTCGCCATACCCTTGCTCCTCCACTGGATTCAGATCATTTGTCGCGGGACTGACCGTGGCGGTACGATCAGGTGTAAGCCGCAATAACATCTCACACGTACGTCGGTTGCGGTTAACGAAATTATATCTCTATCGGGGTCTTGTGCTTTTTAGAATTACGTGCAGTGGAGCTCGATCGTTTTTTTTTCTCTCTCTCCATAATCCGCGTGACCTTGGACCGTAACGTACTTGGCTGTTTCCGACGTGTTCGCATTACGTTTGTTGCGGGCACACTGCAGCCCGTACGGACCAAAAATGGTAATATAACATACCGGACACATTTCCACTGTACGCGGTTTCCAATCGTTACACGACTGCGGCCGTGGAATTGTATACACGGTGGTTTACTAAGCACACGCCACCCTTTTTGTGCTTGTTTCGTGCATTTTTTTACCCTGAAATTTCGATTCACGGAAGACTTATGCGTTCGCAGCACTTGCTCAAATACAGTTATAGTTTCGAATTATTTCAACGGAGTCCGTGAGCTGCTTACAGGTGCACAATATTTTCGATTTTCCCAAATTATAGATGCCTTTTTTTTTTTTTGCGAATGTTCGAACATCAAAAGTTCAACCTACCTTGTTAAGATATTTGACGCTTCGGCTAGTACGTCAGCCGTTTTCAGAAATATACACTGATCCACCGGACGTATCTCACTTGGAATAATTTTTTTTATGAGCAATGGTGCATTGGTTTCAAGTTTAAAAGACCAATACAACAATACCGTTCACCCATTCCCGTATCTCACCCGATCTAGGAGTATTGTTGCCTTTTTTTTCGATTTTAATGTTCGTTGTTGCGGGAATGAAAATGTGATTCGCGAAACCAATCGGAAAAAATCTCTCACGGATGCTTCCTTCGTTTCTTACCTCTTTATTGTTCCGTAATCGCTATAAACCGATTTGAATTGTCACGTTCGGCACACGATGATACGTCGTAGATACTAGTAATGTGAATTATTCAGTTTAACGTGAAAGCAAATCGTGTTACTTACAACTTACTCGTATTCGTATATTTTTAAAAACCTTTACCGGACGGGTTTAGTAATTGTAATTTTGAGCTATGTATTGATTTGTTATTGAATATTGTTCTAAATGTATAAAGTTTTTAATTTCATTCCAATGATTCAGATAAAAAATAGATTTTTTTTCTGAATCATACCTTGTGTTCGTATACGTGTTGGTAATGACCGTTTAAATAACACGATGATTTTTTTAAAATTAAAATTGTTTTAAAAGTATTATTTTTATGATATCATAGGTAAAGTCTTGTATCGATTGATAAAAATGTTCCTTCTGGTTTTTATTACTCTACTGATTTATCTCGTTGCTCGTGTCTATTTATTTAGTATTTCTATGTAACCGACCTCGAGGCCGTCGAAATGAAAATATTGTTTTTTCGGTGACCAGCTGCTGCGAGTAGCCGTCGATATATTTGGTTGTTTAAGGTACCTAGAGATTTTCGTAGCGTTACATAAAACATCGCGGGATCGGTATGTCTGTAATATTTGCAACGAGCGAGGCCAAGGATGGACAAGGATAGAGAACACAGGTGGAGCACCGGATGGCCGTCGCGTGCGCATATATGGACATCCAGGTTAGATCGCTTGAATAATACGTAGAGAAAGCATTATATTAATTGTGACGGGAGTTTTGATCGACGGAAACACGCGGTACGACTGGTGGCATGGCTAACACGGCCTTTCCCTCGAAAACTATAAAAATGTAGTATGCGCCGAATAAAAAATAAAAATATTATCGGCATAGGTTTTTTTTCGTCCGAATGAAAGGCGATAAAAAAAAAAAATTTACTCCGCGTTCGGATCATATTTTCGAACAAATAATATACGGTATATTATCGTCAAACGCAGGTCGCGTCGATACACACGTATATGTACACCACGCGGATATTTAACGATTATTTATTTCAATATGGTTGGACTGGAAACGGTTTGAACACGAATGATTTTCCCGTGGTCTCGTCTTTATAGCTGCTCGCACGCGCGCAGTCGATACACGTAATAAAGTGTTGTGCGGAGAAAGGATGTAACGCGCACATAGCAGCGGAATACTACGCGACAAACCAGTTTTCGGGTGTTGACCATTATGGTTCGCGTCCAAATAAAGACGTACACGACATCGTATACACAATACGATACGCGGCTGCAGTGTGGGTATTGCGTAACATCGCAGTCGGCTACTTACATCAACCGAAAACGAAGATTTCCTCAAAGCGCGTTTTCTACGCGCGAACTTCGTAACGGTACAATTTATATTACGTACGCGCACGACGGAAGAGGGATTGTACTCGTACGGTGTCGAGGAGTAGTGCATTACGGATACGCATAAATGGGTTAGGTACGACTTCGGTAAAGCAACCGGACTTTGTGTACGCGTTTCCGAAACGAATTATTCTTCCTTACCTATTCCCCCTCCCATGTCGTCGACCAGTGGCGTGACTGGGAAAAAATCTAGTAGTGGCAAAATAATTTATGATCAAAATCCTAAGTCCTCTTAGTTATTTTATAATATGTTAAATAATACATTACATTATTTTTTAACTTATGATAATTCAAATATTTGTATTGTCGGATAATGTGAGAGGAGGCAAAATCTCATACCTTTGGCCATCTCAAAATGATCAGGGGGAACTTGCACCCCCCCACAATTACGCCACTGTCGTCAACAGTAACGGTGTACGCGACACAATGTGATACTTCGTTATTTATTATTTATTATTTCGTTTGAATTAAATATCAAACCGTCGTGTTTCGAAGTCGGTAGACGATTACAATTATTATTTTACGTTTACGCGCCTACCGGAGTACAGCTGCTGGTCTCGCCGGAACCGCGGAAAAAACGTTAAAACGTTTTTTATAACGTTTTTTTTTTAAACGTTGTTACGCTTTTAGTTCGCAATTACCTGCTGTAAACCTTACGCGCGATTTACAACGGTCCTTGTACTTTCACCCCGTTGGATGGATAGAACGGACGTGTAATACCACCAAGAGATTTCGCGTTTGGCGAAAATTACGCGACAGCCGCTGTAATACCGATTACACTGCACTCGCTCTCTAAACCGTTACGATGGAGTAAACGCGTATTTGGCCCGCGGCTGGAAAAAAAACCGTACACGAAACTAGTTGAAGGGGGAGGAGTAAGTTTGGAGAATTAAGTTCTTTGAAAAACACGTCCCTTCGAAATCATATTTATAGGTGCGCGTTGGACGTTTTGTACCGATGATACAAAAAAAATGATCAGAAATATATCATGTTTTTCATCGTTGTCGTACATAACTGTAATCAGAGCTAAAATAAATTCATCTCAAGAATGTAAAAATGTAAGAAGTGTGTACTGTAACCATTCAATGTTCTTAGGCATCTGCAGTCCTATAAATTATGTATATTATTTTCTCTACAATATGGAAACTATACCTTATTATCACCCTAATATTACCTTTACAGATAACTACGGATAAGTATGCCAAAATCATCGAAAAACAATATTGCAATAAACAGGTGTGTTACCGTTGGATCAGATGGAAACGTTTCTTCACGGTAATAATTGTGACTCCAACCTTTTTTACCTTAACTCGATTACTTAATAATACTGTTTACGTATAATACATAAATAATACGTAGTAAAATAATAATTATAGCATATATTTAGCGCATTGTTGTTATCAGTTAGATTATATTCTCCATCGTTTTACCTGTCCGAAACAACATCACATTAAAGAGACTGTTAGGTTTTGTCTGGGTTGAGCCCGTGAAACCAGATAGGATTGCCGTTGTTGTGGAATAATTGAGTTAAAATCGTACCTACCAAATAAAATATAACTCATAATGACCACTTCTGTTTTCCGTTGTTTCGTGTCGTAGCAGAAATCGCGTTATGCATAATAATTGCATTATTATTGCATACGAGTGTAATAATGTGAATAATCAGTTTCGTTGCTTAAACGCAAATCAAAATTAATATACCTATGGGCCGGTTCTATAAAGGGTCAGTGAGGATATTCGTGAGCGCACGTACATTAGACCTAGTTACGCCGGTGGGCCAGTGTGATCATCTAATATGACCTTGGTCAAACACGTGTTGTGGGTAAAGATAATAATATTGATATACAAATAATTATGATGACCATCAATGCTATGTATAAACAATAAGCGTGTAGAAGTTAAACGAACGCAAAACTACAATTGCACGGCGATATTTCGAACGAACGTGATAGAAACGCACCCTCCCCCCAATTGTTGAACTGTATGCGTGTTAATAAACAAACATTTTACAACTATAAGATACCCGTTTAAAAACCATAACAGTGTTGAATTTAGGTTTTTGTCATGTAATTGTTGACTGTCAACCCTAAAATCACTGTGCCGTCGTTTAATTACGGAGACGAAATTCATAAACGTACCTATTTCATGCGTCTATTAAGATAATTGTCAGAGACTAGATCTCGCGAGACCAAAGAAATATTGAGTTTTAGACAATATTCGTGTCCAATATGCAACTAATTCACTGCGTGACCAAGATAATCCTTAGATACCCTTAGATACGAAAACCGTCTGAGATATTGATTGTTCCCAATTCCTATAAGGTTGGTATTTTGTTTTGGATTGTTCTCGACATGGGCAACGAAAACAAATTATGAACACTGTACTTAAGTGTTGTCCGTGGTATTTCGCAGTGATCGTCTTGAACAGGTTGAACCGTACTAAAATGTTTACGATCCATATATATATGTTTATCAAAAATAAAAAGCTTAATAACATGTTTACGCGGCAAAAATCGTAATCGCTGAAAAAAATTTTCTGTTACGGGAAACGTTTTACATTATTTTCGATTACTTGATTTATAAGCAAGACGAAGGGAGAACGCGCAATAATAAAAGACATCGTTGCGCGGTATTTACAAATAATAATAAAACCTACATGGCATATATAGGTAACGATAAGAATCTGATACTTTATGAGAAACAGAAATACGTAGTAAATACTATGTTACACGTCCGAAGTGGTGTAGGTAAAGAAAAACGTAATTCAATTAAAGCGTACGTACTCGTAGGAAATGCTTACGTGTTTTTGGGGAGGGACGTAACCCGATTGTAAGTAGTTTTGATGGTAGGACGAATCGCTGCATAATTTTACGTTCATAAATTATACGCATTTGTATACTTCGTAGATTCATAATTGGATAGCAATAGTAATAATAACAACAACGAACTATCGATTTTCTTAAACTTAACACTCTCACATAGTTCGTTTCACCTAATACAGCGTACTCGAGAATCCGTACGGATTGTGCAACGCCGTGCATAGAAATGCAATCGCGTATCTATATTATTAAACGAGTGTGTTGGCGACGAGGTTTCGACCATGCCCGTTCGACATGTTTACACAAAGGAGGAGCTCGTGTTTCACACGGTTTCGCAATGTTTTTTCCAATAACATATTGAGGTTTCCCCACACGGTCGCACCAGGCACTAAAAGCGGATACGAAACGACCGCGCGACAATGAACAGTATGGTAATACGGATGACATTCGCTGAAATACTTCGTCCGCTCGGGAAACTGTTGAGAACCGTACCGAGACCAATTGACCGCAACGCAAAACCGCCGGACATCGTTATACCGTGAAGTTGGGCAACGCTGTCGCAGTAGGAGCGCAGCACCCACGCGTTTGCCACCGCGGGAAACGCCTCCTATGTACTACGTTCGCGCGCGCGTTATTTTTACGTACGAGAAAAATTGCCGACAGAAATGTTGGGGATCGCGGCGTCGTGTTCCAATTCATGAGTAAGCGCACGGAAATCGAATGCCGTCGACGGGGTGAGAACTGGCAGACGTTTGTCCGGGTGCGGCAAGGCGAGGGGTGGTCCACGGGGTAAGGGTGACGCGTGATTCACGTGGTCCCCCTCGGCGCCTGACAAGCAGCGGCGGCCGTAGTAAATATTCCGGGGAGACTTATTTTATTTAACATAAACACCACGCAACAACGAACAAGAAAAACCCTTTTATTGGAAAATTAATTATACTCAATACTTAATATAATGTTTAGTCAATATTTCAATGGGACATTTTTTTTATAAACTAATTAAATTTTGCGATTTTTTTTTTTTGTCTGCGATCTCGCAGATGACGGTGTACGGCGACTAACGATGGATCGAAGGCACGGAAATTATTGTCGTGAACCCAGTTTCAATAGCGTCTCAAAGTCTCTCCCGACGAGCCGCCCCTGCCGACGAGGGCTTGCCGTCGTCGCGGAGACGAACAGTTCCACCAACGCGCGTGTTGACGAATCACGCGGGAATTTCGTGCGGTGACTACGGCTTTCTGGGGAAAAACGTAGTAGAACAGAATGTTGTGGGCGTATGCGAATCACGTACCGGACCATACGGAACCGACACTTGGACGGCTTAAGAGTGTTTCACGATCGGGTATGGCGGGTAAAAGTAGGCCGGGAGGAAAAAGTGCGAAACAAAAAAAAAAAAAAAAAACCGACGACCGAACGAAAAACATATTTTACGTCGGCCGCTACTTATCGTGTGATTTTCGACATTCGGACTTCTGGGCGGACACCGGTAGCGCGTCGTAAAACATAGTGTGTTCCGTTGAGTATACTCACGTTGTCGGATCCGGTGAACACGTTGTACCGTTTGCGTAGCGAGGACGTGTACGACTCGGGGTCGGACGAGTTGTACTGCGCCTTGGCCGCTGGCGACGGCCGTTTGTTCTCTTTGGACGCGGACGAGCCGCCGCCGTCGCCGCCGCCTCCTGTGAACAGCATTTTGAACTTGTCCAGCCTGGAACGCTTTTTGGCGGGTTTGTCGGCGAACGAGGTGGCGGTGGAC